ATACCTAGTTTAACCATTTGCAGGCTGAATTGTACCTTTAGTCATAAACAGGTAAATATGCCCTATTAAGAAATCAGCTTGCATGTGTTAGAAAAAATGAGACTGGGCGGTGAGTAGTACATCATGTTACATGGTGTGGTGGATGCCATTGGCCAACTGCAACTACCAGCAGCCCAATTCAGACAAATGAGTGAGTGAGTTTAGTTTTACACCGCACTCAGCAATATTCCAGCTATATGGCGGTCTGTTAATACTCGAGTCTGGTCCAGACAATCCAGTGATCAACAGCATGAGCATCAATCTGCTCAATTGTTAACAGATGACATGTGTCAACCAAGTCAGTGAGCCTGACCACCCGATCCCGTTAGTCGCCTCTTACGACAAGCATGGGTTACTGAAGATCAATATTCTAACCCGGACCTTCACGGGTCTGAAAGTCCGTACTGACTGCACTCAAAACACCATTGACTCACAGTTAGTTTACATGTGAAACGAGACACGTCAAGTTGTGTGTACATCACCTTTTCCCCAGAGCCTCCTTGGCCATCCTCTGCTTGTCTGTCAGCCTGAACTCAGAGATGTAGACGTCCCCCTTCCCTCCTTGCTGTCCAGCCTCCGAATCATGGTTAGTCAGAGCTCCCTGGCGCAGACCGTTCAACTATGTGAAGGGATGAGAGGTCAGATCCAAACCAAATCAGTATACACACATATTAACCAAAGAAATTTGTTTAGTTGGGAAAATCTTTCAATAATATCCAATGTGATGGAGAGTATTACACTTTTATCTATCATATTGCTAACATTGGCATAAAACAATATTCACTCATATCTACAAAATACATCAAGGATAACTGATCGTGCTGATAGTACTCTCTAAATATCATAAACAAAACCCACCTTTTGTTTCATCAATTGCACTGTAGATCACATTGTCATTGCCAGTATGAAAATGACAGAATGTCTGTGAGATAACTTCATGTTGATCCTGCCAGGAGACTTAACTCTATTCCCACTATATCTGCTTAAACAAGCCATCATCATTATGCCAGATAAGGGCCAGAAATTGACAGGTCACATGGCTTTAACCTTCACATAAGGGAATCAACTGCTGCAACAAAAGCATCAGTGTAACAGTCTGAGGTTGTCTCCCCTGTGTCTTGTTTATCTCACCTTATTAAGAGCCTGAAATCGTGAGGTCATATGACCTTTCCCTCCTGCCAGTACTCCACTGTCGATTGAGTCATCAGATGATGTTCCTGCAGAGATGTTTCTTGCTGACACTGTCACAATTCTCTCTGGAATGGTCACAATCTCTGGCTGTGAGCTGGCGCTGGAACTGCTCGCATTACCTGATGATATACGAAACAGAGCTGATACAGCATGTCATAAGACTAAGTATTACAACAAAAATATTTTACTCAAACCACAGACATTTCATGTGTCAAAATAATACATACAACAAGTATTACTGATTTGTTGAACACCACGGTAACATCATCCCATTAAAAATCAACAAAGTTTACAAGACACTATGTTATCCTTAAAAATCCATACAAAACTATGACGACCCTGGCCAGTAGAACTGAACAGTGGACACACTGAAGAATGCTTGGAATTAGTTCAAATATGCTGACTGTTAAATCTTGTCTGAATTAGCTATCAACACATGACCAAGAATGAACAATAATGTATAAACTGTTTAACATATTCCCACCTGCACTTCCAGCTTTCCCTGACCCATCGTCTGAGGGATGTGAGATGAGGCTGACATTGACAATACGTTCTCCACTTGGAGGCAGGGAAGTGTTTCTCCACAGGCAGTTTGGTCCTGTCCTCCTTGTCCTCCAGAACCCTGTCTGAGCCACCATGGATAGGCTTAGCCTTCCCTTCTTGAGCTGCCCAGTGTGCACTTGGAAAGGGACGTGAGCTACCTGTACTTGAAGGCACTGTTACATCAGGAGCAGGTCTGGATGTTTTCACTGATGGTGTTGATGCATTAGATGTTTGTTTCCCAATCTGTATCTTAGATGATCCTGACATGGTGGAGTATGAGCGTGAGTTGGCAGAGGATGTTGCTGCAGGTCTTGATGGTGCTTCTTGCTGCTTGGATACAAGGGGCGGTGCACATTCTGACTCTCGAGGTGAGATGATCTCTCTCAGTTGCTTCCTCGACACCTTCACCTTCTGAGCTCCTGTCACGTTGAAGTTGTCCAAGTTTCGAGCTGACTGGGTTGATGAAATGCTTGTATTGAAACTTCTATTAGCCTTGTCATTTGGGTCAGCCAGAGTTGAAGATATCAGTACATCACTGGCAGTGGTACTGTTATCAGACTCATTTCCCAGGGCAGAGTTCTTCCCACCTATCCCTGTCTCTATACCTCTCCTGTCATCAGATGCAGACTGTGATCTGCCAATGCCACTTTCAGTCAGTAAGTGTTCAGAGAGGTCTTTACTCCGCAACAAAGTTTTTGATTTGTCCCTATTCGAAGAAGCCTTGCTGCTCCCAGATCTTTGAGAAGCAGGTGAGCCATCATGGGAATCTTGGGATTTCTGTGATCCCTGTGACTTGGTCGACTTGTCCAGAGCACGCACAGCAGCATCTGTCACAGACAGTAACTCCAATATGCTGTTGTGTGTGTCATGAACATGCACATTGGTTTCAACCTCCATTGTTTGACAATCATCTGCCTTGGAATCTTGACCATTTCATTTTCAGACTGATGATTTCAAATAACTGGCATTAAACATTCCTGAAAAGAGATGGACAGTCGGTAACTTTACATCTGAGACAATAATACGAAATGACATGATTCAGACTAGAAATCACATTAGTAGCATAGTTCTGAATGCAGCAAACATTTGACTTTTGTGAATGTTTCACTTGCTCTGATCCAAAATAGGCCAGGAAAGGGTTTTTAAAGAAACATACCTAGCAGAATTTGCAACTGGTATTGGATCTTGTTGATATTGGATCAAATGCCCATAGATCTTTCATCATGTTCACTATGATGGGCAGTCAGAATTCAGATAGTACAAACAGGCCAAAACTCCTTACAAACTGATCTGAGTTTAGATCAAATACCATTGCATCATTTTTTGTGGTGGGCAGTAAAGGTTTCCTCAGGGTTCACCTGCCTAAATGTTTGTCAAAGCTTGGCCAAGAGATCAAAATACATATTTTTCACACACCTCAAACACACCCTAACCAAATATCACTATTACTTGCAAACACCTTTCAACTAAAGGTATATTTCCCTTCTAAAAAGTAAACGAATATGTGAAAGAAGTTTTTAGCGATAGAATTTAGTCTTTCTTCGCTGTGTACTGAGAAGCCAGTGAGCCAGTTAGCTACAACATGCCGACTTGAAACTTTACTACAAATCTACTGTACTAATACTGACACTAATAACATATATTTGACTTAAAATGAAGTGCAAAAATAGGTAATTTATCTTCTACACGTAGGTTTTCAGTTGTCACAACACTTAGCGTATGTAATCAGCTGTTGAAAATAAACCGGGCTCAATCTTAAAAACTACCCTGCCGCCATATTGGCTACACTGGTCACGTGTTGAGCCGAGGCATACGCTAAGGGGCTTTCCGAGGAGTGACCACTCCCCCTTATATAGTCTCCCTGATTCAAATCACAAGACACCAAGTCTACCAGTAACCTTCGTACTTGTCCGTGACCTATTTGACTCTTTCCGTTCATTTCCGTGATGTCACAGGAATGACTCGATAAATTTGCACATTGTGCAACAGTGTGGATGTAGCTCAGTCGGTTAGCTGTCGAGCTTACAACAATGACACGTGACCTATGGCACAGATCGTCCTCACGATAAGTTGTGGTGCTGTATTCTAAAGGTGCTCCAAATCTACCAATTAATATGGTTAATGAGTGCCATAAGTACACATAGATAAGTGCCATAAGTACACATCATAAACATCAACGCTAGGACAGACTGAAATGCAGCTGCAGTAATCTTTCTCTATACTGCTCTCTGACTTCGATGAGGAGCAAAGTCATACTTTAATGAGATTTTTCTTGTGATAAGTTTGAAAGGAATAACAGTGTGGTCAATTAGCATAGAGAAAGGGACTCATGAGATTAAGACAAAACCATGAAAAAATAGGGTGTTTGGGATTGCAACTACACAAGCATACATGACACAATTTCATTCAGTGACTTATTATAGTGTGTAAGGGATGAAGACTTGAAAATATGCTACGTACAATAGAGAATGTGTGCGAGCAAAAATGTTACAGGGCTTAGTCAAGGCCGACTCAATATAATAGAAGACAACTCAGTCTCTGACATAGACAGCCCCTTTTAACAAGTAAACCATTCGACGTTTTGGAATATAATAGAATACAACTTCAGGTTAGGGTAAGGTTTAGGGACATAATTAGGGTTAGGGTTAGGGGTAAGGTTTACGGTTCCTTTTGACGTGACATTAAACAATATAATCCGGTATTCTGTAAGTGTACCTGGAGAACTGTCAAGGCATTCACAAGAACACATTGCTATAGGACCATGACAGTCTCAAACATGTTAAAATATACTTCAAGTAGTCACCACTCGAGTCGAGGCCTATTTGTCATTTGATACAAGTAAACAGTCATTAAACCAACTCGTTTCGTGTTTGGGTGCCTCATACATTAAGAAGACTACAGTAAATTAAGTGTCAGAGCTCAAAAAGGAGAGAGTAGTTAGCAAATATACCTGCCACGGCGACATAATCCACAAAATTTTCTCAAATACTTATATTTGCCTCGCTTTTACGACCATGTTTGTAAACTATGTATACATGTTGTTAAAGCAGCTGTGATTGGCTATCATTTTCATATACGGCAACGTCGTAATTCAGTACAGCGATAACCTTAGGATAACATCATATTTACAGACCCTTTTATGGATTATCTGAATCAAATATGTCAGAAACATAGTCCTAGTCAGTACTCGCAGCCTTACCATGTAAATGATACTTTACGACTTTCAATGCCAGCCAATGAAACACGTCAGTACAAATGCTTTTTCTACCTATCCTATTTCCGGTAGTTTCAACTACATGCCGGAACATGTGTTGATGGTTGTTTTCTTCGACTTTATTTAGAAGGTAATTCATAACCAGTATACCTTAAATAAACATTATTTGGCGAAGATGTTTTCCCATACCTAACTCTTATTGGATATAGACAAATAGGTGCGAAAGTGGCGTTTACAACCGAACGAATCAATTTTGACCTCTACCGGTCTTGATCAGTTGGAAGCAGACGCTCCAAGTTGCTACACATTGCATTGTCACTGATGATTACACATGCACAATAGAGAGATTACAAGACCTATCTAGTGTGTTTTAAGTAGTATATATCTATGTATAAATGTATCTAAAAATATGATGAAAGTAGCAAAACATCCCATAATATCGTACAAATCTGTAAATACAGTATCCGGTGAAAGGTGTGTAAATGCAGTTCTGTTATGAATATGAATAGAGATGACATCTTCGGTGTGTTATCTCCCCTTGTTAATTACATCAGTTTCTTTTATGCCCAGTGACACCCTTTTTTCGATGCCTCATGTGTTAAACAACATTTAGCAGATCTCTACTGGACTTATGGTATTCTCTCATTTGAACATTTTCAATAATAAGCTGTTTTAAATACCCGTGGTATATTCACGAAAAAGTGGCACGTGTTTGCAAAACCGGACACACCTGCAGCAAGAATTTGCTGAAATTTTATAAGATTAGTACAGTTTCTGCTGCTGTGTATTCCCAAGATCAGAAAAGTCTGCAATCTGCTGAGGCTGATATTAATAACAAAACAACAAGAACATCACCAATGTTGGATGGTGCAGACAACCAAATGTCACAATCAGGGTTGTGAAGCCCATTTCTGGTGTCCCCCACCGTGATATTGCTGGAATATTGCTAAAAGCGGCGTAAAATCAAACTCACTCACTCACAATCAGGGTACTTTGGGATTCAAACCCACAATTAGCAGACACTTGCACCACCAAGAATCACAAATTGCACAGCAAATTGTAGTACCTTGTACCACTTGGCAATCCATTCCTCACGTATGTTTAGCTTTGAAATATCATTTCCTGTATGTCTTTCAGTGACCAGCCGTGACTAAAATGGCGGCAGCACCTGGAGGTTTCCCCCAGTTGGACCCTGAGAGCACCGTCAAACAGGTGAGTTCACTCAATGATGTCTGAATATTGTCAGAAAAGGATTCAGTTTTGCAACGTCAATAAATTTCAACATCAAGAAATAGTTAAGACTATTGCTGATAACTGGCAGGTAAAATGAGTCTTTTTTCTGTGGACCTTTCTTTGGAAACACACAAAAGTTTAAATTTTATATTGACATTTCCCTACCATAACTAAACATACCTAACATATTTAAAGGGGACTATTTAAAATTGAAACCTGGCAACTTTGTGGCAATTTTGTATTTTTCCTCTGCCTATTTGATATGTTTGACTTCCTGTTAAAGAACCACTAAACTTTGTTTTTTTGTTACTCTTTTAACCATTACATATGAAAGATTTGTGGTTAGTCTTATGCGGAACACCAAATTTATTCTTTAAAAACTTGTGGTTAATTAATACCGAGCGATTAAAAGTGGCCAAAAAGTCGCCTGCTTCCCTCTCGCCCGCCAACGAAACCACAGACAGGTTACGTAACTCTGTCGCCAGAGCACTGCAGTGACGTCATATGAGGAACGATTTTCAGTTAGTTGTATAGAAAGTGTGTAGCACGCTCATCATTTTGATGATTTCTCGACATGAACGACGACATACGCCGAATCGTTGCTTTGTCGCCAATTGCTCCTAGGGGTCGGGTGATGGTGTCACCATGCACAGATTTCCACAGGACCCCGCAGTTCGTGCTAAATGGGTTATGTTTGTGAGTGCGCGGCGAAGCGTTGTGGAAGCCTGAAACGATATCTTACTTGTGTTCAGATCGCTTCACGGAAGTTACAGAATCAAAACTACTTACTAGTTATAGTAAAATATGTATATGATTGATGACCAGAAAGATTTTCCATAACACAACTTGTAACATAACGATTTCTTCCTTGGAAGTGAGGTTGTGGTCGAAGTAACAATAATATTGTAAGTAGTATTATATTGACACCCACCTCGCTGCCAGGAGAGAAATTGTTATGTTATACGCTATGTCATGCAAAATCCTATTGGCCATCAATAAAATACATATTTTACTACCAGTAGAAAGTAGTTTTGATTTTATAACTTCGGTGAAAACAAACCTAAATAGCATTTATCCACAGACTGGCGGATGTTCCTTACAGGGCTTCCATTTTTGAAAATAAAAAATCTGTTAGAATTAATGAGATTATAGTTTGTTTTCATCAAGTTAGAAAATCAAAACTACTTTCTACTCGTGAGTTAAATATGTATTGGAATCATAACCAAAAGGATTTTGCATGACACAACTTATAACATAACGATTTCTTCCACGGAAGCGAGGTGGGGTCGAAGTCACAATACTGCGCGATAAATTTCTTTGCTACATTCACATGGTTAATGTCCACTCACCAGTATGTAGATACTGGTCAATGTGCGTCTTTATATTTGGTCTTATAATCCTAATTAGTTTATTATCATACTTTTATGCATTTTGAAACTAAATAAAAAGCTGACGATCTGCTGATACTTATAGTGAATTTATAACAGAACTGTAATATCTAGACATTTTATAGTTTGCCAATGTGAATCATAATTCGCACACACACCCTAGTGTATTTTGTCTGTCTCATTACACTTCACGGCGAAAACAATGATTCCGTTGAATGCTACGACAAATGAATAAAAAACAAAATGCAAATATTAAAACTAAAACAGATTAAAGTTATAGGAACAATATCAGGCCATTACCTTGTTTGAGGAATGTATCCATCAATATCCACAAAACTGTTCCAAATGATGTGTCTTTAACAGTTTAATATACGAAAAAGTGATAAATCTTTTCAGGTATTGGTGTATAGTCTCATTGGTCACCCAAGATAGCACACCTGGCAACTAATTGCATAATGTCCGCCTTTCATTAAAAACAGTAATTTACTTAGCCAATCATGGGGAATCAATCAATGTATTGCCGGTTAATCCTTTGAAAGAAGGACGTTGTTTTTACGCAGACACCGACACGACAGAGTGTATTCAGTATAGATTAGTAAATCTACATACATAAACACTGCCTTTTGACAAATCCGCTGTGTAAGATAAAAGTAATTAATCAATCAGCGTGTTATCGGTTAATCCTTTGATCGATGTTTATAATGTTGAATATTTACTCCAGACACAGGAAATGCCAAATGGGAACCTTTGTCGGGTAATCTAAGTGTGTTACCACTAATTATACCTGTTATAAATTCATTAACTGACCATCAAGTGAATGATGACAAATAACATGTGTAGGTTTATACCACCAAACACGGGTTACAACAATGGAGTATTAATTGCTGTATTGCATGTGAAAACTTATGAGCCGACACTGTTTTGAGAATACAAACAGATTTTTACATGACATGATTAAATATCGAGGTAAAAAAACACAGAAATGGGATCAATTTGGATCAGTCATTATACAAATAGGGCCTAACGACACCAATCAATTGTGACAGAAGCGTCTATGAAAACAAGTTGTAACTCGGAAACTAGACAAAGCAGGAGACAAAAGTAAATGCCAGTAGATTGTGAGAACATATAGCTTTCATTTTCCACAACAATTGTCACGATTTCAGGTTTATACAAGCCTGTAAACAAGATAATTTACCCCCTAAAATGTAGATGAATTCTGCATCGGCCCTCAAAGCTATTCCTCATATGACGTCACAGAGTCGCGCCGCTCTGATTGGTTGAAATTTCGTTCGCGGGTGAGAATTGTGCACTGTTGTCAAAAAGGTCGATTTAAGTCAATTAAAGGTCGAAATGAGTAGTTTTAATGACGGGGTTTCATTTATAAGGATGCCAGTTAGTGATTTATGTATTTTAACCCCCTAGGGTTTATGTGACCTTTAAGAAGGTAGATGTGGAGTCAAGGTGATCCTTGTTAGAAGATTTCAGAGTAACTGTTGTGTTATTGTAAAACTGTCTATCATTTTCTGTTTGATGCACTTTTTGTGTATTATCCTTATATTTTACAGTTCCGTGAATTCTTGTCTTCCTACAACAAACTTTCTGAGCAGTGTTTCCAGGATTGTGTTCATGACTTCACCACCAGGAAGGTGCTGGATGGAGAGGTACGTTTCACATGTTTCAGCAGACATGGTTCAAGAAGAAAAGATATTTTTCAAAAAGTACCATATTTTCTTGTGTAATGTGCACAACTAAGTGTAATGCACATCCTCCTCTAGGAGATTCAGGATTGTGGATTTTATAGTATTATTTCCAGACAAAAAACTACATTGTATACCTTGAGTGAATTCAGGTATAACAAACATGTATTTAAGAAACTCGTTAAATATGAATAAAACTTGGGATGAAACATCACTAGAAAATGTTTTAATTATATCTCCTCATCAGCTAGGCATTGTTTTATATGCATAGATTACCATTACTGTGTGTATTGTCTAGTGAACTAAGTGAGAAATATCTAACTTTGTGCATAGGCTTTCTGTAACATGTACATTTTTGTTACACTATGGAATAAGGTACCAGTGGTGAATGGTTTCAAAACTAGTAAATGTATTGTCAGCTGGAGTGGATGCTTGGTATTGGCTTGTCACATGGGAGACCAGAGATTGTTCCTCCATGTGGTTAAAGTATGTGATTTCTGTTTCTGGGTTATCCCAGCTGTGAGGTGACTGGAATATTCAAGATATTCACTTACTATAATTATCTATTTCTCTCATCAGAGTAGCTGTTCAACAAACTGCTTAGAGAAGTATCTGAAACTGACTCAACGGATCTCACAGCTCTTCCAGGAGTATCAGCTGACACACTCTGACGCCGCATCCACTGTGTCTCAGATGGCATCAAGTGGCAACTGATGAAGCTACTGATGCTGGAAGGGGAGACAACTGTGTTGAAGGATGAAGGTCTACGTTCCACCAACATTGCATTCACTTGATGATTCATCCATGGAAAATCAATTGCATCTTTTACTTAATGACTGCATGAGTTTATGGATCATGGTAATTACTGTCTTGTTGAAAGACTGTCTCTGACAAAGAAAGGTCTTAAGGAGCCAGAAATGTGATTTTGCAGAGACCAAGTCTGCTTTTACTAAACAGGTGTTTCTAAATTCATTTTAAAACTCAGACTTTTCATAACAATATTAAAACAGTCTATACTTTGGATACTATATATCTGACTTTACATTGTAGATGAATATCTTGTGAGTGGAATTTATGGTGAAATAATCATTCTGAGTCCGTGCTGACAACAGGGAGAAACTTGCATGTAGCCGACATACTGGTCTATGTAGCCTGGGAGCAGTGCAACGTGAAGTAAATGTGATGGGGCTCTGAGGGGTGTGAATGGGTATAGTGTGTTTGAGAAAACAGGATAGTGCATTTATCATAATTTTCATCCTTGGAGGACTCTTTAGGTGTGGTAAGGCAATGTTTTGACATGTATATGTGTGTGCAAACATTCTTCATGTGTCAAAGTGTTTTGTCAAGGAACAATCAATCAGAATAAAAACACTAAACATTGGAAGTGTATTTAGTTGTAATTATCCGTAAACATTAAAACAAAGCAGCTGGCAGAGAAATGATTTAGTGCAGTGAAGAAACCACTCATGTTCTCACCTGCTGATTGAGAATGTTCAAAGGACAATATCATGAGAGACCAGTGATTGTGGTATCAATTACACATTTACCAACACTCTATATTCAGCATCGGCATTCTGCCTCGTCCATTGAAGATCCAGGTTAGAATTGATCTTCAGAACCCATGCTTGTCGTAAGAGGCGAGTAAGGGTGCCGGGTGGTCAGACTCACTGACTTGGTCATGAGAGACCAGTGACTGTGGTATCAATTACAATGTTTACCAACACTCTATATTCAGCATCGGCATTCTGCCTCATCCATTGAAGATCCAGGTTAGAATTGATCTTCAGAACCCATGCTTGTCGTAAGAGGCGAGTAAGGGTGCCGGGTGGTCAGACTCACTGACTTGGTCATGAGAGACTAGTGACTGTGGTATCAATTACACATTTACCAACACTCTATATTCAGCATCGGCATTCTGCCTCGTCCATTGAAGATCCAGGTTAGAATTGATCTTCAGAACCCATGCTTGTCGTAAGAGGCGAGTAAGGGTGCCGGGTGGTCAGACTCACTGACTTGGTTGACATGTCATCGTATCCCAATTGTGTAGATCGATGCTCATGCTGTTGATCACTGGATTGTCTGGTCCAGACTCCATTATTTACAGACCACCGCCATATAGCTGGAATAGTGCGGAGTGCGGCGTAAAACTAAACTCACTCCCTCTCTGTGGGCCAGGCATCTGCCCTGAGAGCTGTAGGCTGATGGTTTGATTACCACTTGTGTCATACCAAGAGACCTCAAATGATCATACCTGATGTTACCCTGCCTGGTGCTGGACATTAAGGGGATAAAACAAGGACTGGTGGGCTCAGGGTGTACTCTGAGAGGGGTATCACATTAAATACACATAAGACAATACTGCTGCATGGTATCTCAGTGGGCTGTAGCACTATTAAATCACCATTAGTCTGGACTAGTCCAGGGAGACCCTAACGTCCAAACCCTTTATAGATCAACCAGATCTATGTTGTTTCTTGGGGATCCAGGTAAATATTGGTCCCCTGAAATGGATGATCTGATCAAGCTTATTGTGTTTTAAATACCTTGCAATATCAACCACTGTCATTTGTTAATGAGCCACCACCAAGTAGTTGCCATGCAGCATTAAATGACATTTGCAAACTCATCTTCCATAAACCTGATCTTGGGAGTGTGATGTACAATTGTCTGCATTTCGATTTGGGATTTAAGATTTGGGAGAAAATTCACTGCAACAACCATTTAATCTTTTTCAGTCTATTATGCAAATACCATTGATGCAAAACAGATCTAGTCAATAATTCAAACATACATCCTTCTATGGACAAATCCTGATGTATTCCTTTGGCTGGCAAGATCACAAGATAAGTAAAAAGATTTTAAAAACAGATCTAGTCAATAATTCGAATGGATATACAACTTCTTTAATATGATATGAGCGACATGTCGGTGTAGCTACTAACACCGTTATCAAGCAAATGATAAAAACAGAACACATTCTGTTTTCAGATTTTATTGACAAAATAAGTCACATATTTACAAAATATATCAAAAAGAAGAAGTGACCCTGGCAGCGCACACACACAGAGAAAACTCAACACTGCTGGGTCTGTCAAATGTCCAGGTACACATCTTGTTTTTACCCCATCGTATAAATAAAATACTGTTGAAGGCGTTGTTCACCAATTTCACGCACTTTCTCATACAGAAAGAAATATTCCAGCAATATCACGGCGGGGGAACTCCGGAAATGTGTGAAATCGAACACGGGTCTTCAGCCTGACGAGCGGACGCTTTACCCATGATGCTATCAATCGTGATAGGTAACCTTGTATTCACGAGGCACTTCCGTCAAATGCCCAATTCCATTGTTCAGCTGTCATGACTTTGGTACTCATTGTGTTTCCCACACTAACCTTCGTGTCTATTTCCAGCGACCTCTCTGCCTTTGCCCTGTCAAGGTTACCTTAGTGGCTATTTCCGGTTGACCGTATCAGAACCGTATCTACTTCCGCTCAGGATGACGTTGGTGTCTATGCACTGTAGTTTGTTGTCATGGTGACTTTGTCTTTACTAAACAACAACACCTGAGTTGGAAAACGCTCACTGGAAGACATTCAAACTTTGGATTGTCAAATTTACCCACAGGGCCTAATTAAAATCACAATTGTTCCATTCCTGTCAATATGATAACCAAACATCTGCATGGTATCTGTAAAACCTACTCATACCCATGACAATAATGCCTTTTTTACGAATGCATCATTATGTTGAGTATCCAAAACACTAGTTCCCACATAGGCCCGCACTAATGCCACGTACCCTCCGTCCAGCATACAGAGAACTGGTTCACAATATAAATATATACTGGGTCATTATATAAATATATACCCTGTTCAGTAGGAGCAATGACAGTGAACCAAAGATGATCTTGCTCTTCACACAAGATTTCACAGCAGCATCAATTAACAAATGGATCCATGGATGAGTGAAAAGAGGCGACTGGTGGATGAAAACACTGGCTTGATCAGGAGTAGATGGCGGCGCGTAGGAGCTGAAAACAAACAGTATATTCACGGTACAAAAAACCCAGTATATTCACTGTACAAAATCTAACGACCTATGCTGTAGGTTCTGAAACAGTGAGCGAGTGTGGTTTTAGGCCCGCTTTTAGAAATATTCCAGCAATATCACGACTGGAGACACCAGAAATTTGCTTCACACATTTTACCCATGTGGTGAATCGAATCGGGTTTTCGGCGTGACGAGGGAACGCATTAACCATTAGGCTTCCTCGAACATATTAGGTTTGTTGTGTGTATATCCTGTCATGAATTACACAAATACGAACATAACTGATCATGGTTCTTCTGAGTTACGGATGGGGACGATCCTCGCCGACAGGCCTTCATAATTAATTACTATTGTCACTTTGTAATAATTAAATATCCTTACAACATCGTTATGAGCATATGGAATGTTGATGCCAGCGGCATTTGATGATCACGGTGCGACATGCGAGTGTTTGTATACAGAACATACCTTGTCGAGAGACTTGGTGTCAGAAGTCTTCACATCAGGGCTGTCAAACCTTTCTGGAAGTGGAAAAGAAGTGTAAGTATCTCACATTCGTCACTATTAGAATTTATGGCACATGTCCTTCAAGTTTGTCGACTGAATTCAGCTTAATACAAACATCCAATACGATTTTGCATGAGTAACTGATAGAATGCTCACGCTCACCTAGCAGATTTGTGAGTCTGACTATACACAGGATGAAGTCGCCGAAGTCCATGTTGCCGTCCCTGTTGACGTAGCGCAGCACCAACGCTTGTAGAGTGTCGTTACTGATTCGGTAACCTGATAGAACCAATGAAACTACTGAACCGATAGTCAAAGACACCTTAGCGCTAGTGATTTACAAAGCCTTCCAGTAGTTATTAATTTCACACTTTAGAATAGACAAGAAATCGTCCAATCTTTAACTCGTTCATCACCTCGCCATATGATAGACCCATTACAAGACGTAAGCGAGTCAGTGAGTTTAATTTTACGCCACACTCAGCAGTATTCCAGCTATATGGCGACGGTCTGTAAATAATCGAGTCTGGACCAGATCATCCAGTGATCAACAGTATGAGCATTCTCAATCGGGATACCATGTGTCAACCAAGTCAGCGAGCCTGACCACCCGATCCCGTTAGTCGCCTCTTACGACAAGCATGGGTTACTGAAGACCACTTCTAACCCGGATATTCACGGGTCATTACAAGAAGATACATATTATGCCCATACATAATAATAAAGTAAATATTCTCACTGACCATATATAACAAACGTAATCTGTCAACATATTTGCATAACTGTTTGAAATTACAACCCTTATCAAAACATTTTGTTTTAAAGAGTGTATTTGTATCTTTCTTGTTGTACGTCACACACAGCAATACCATACCAAGGCGGCGTGTAAACAATCGAATCTAGACCAGACAAACCAGTGATTGGTATGTGAAACATTCCACGTCGACGGAATACGTTGACACACATAATAAAGTCACTAAGCCTGCTCACGTGATTCGCTTAGTCGCCATTAAAGTTTACTGGTGAACTACTCCAACCAGAATGTCCACTAGCAATGTACATAAGAACGTTTGTAAGGAGAATCTACCCACCCAGTAGGTTGAGGAAGGGTCTCAAGTAATAGGAGCTGAGCATTCCGTCTTTGTCGGCACCACTCGCCTCATAGCATGCCTGGAATCACACATGTACATACTGTGAGTATCGTTTACAATCGGAACAGTCAGACTAATGTCTAGTAAATGGCAACACTAACGGGGTATGATGAAACACAATCAGACGCTCACTCTTACAATATATGTGGGCTTCAAATGTGTGGTGCTAGACAAGCAGTTTGGCCATCAAGAGAGATACCTGTTATTGTCTATACGAAGCGTGGTAGGTGTTATTGTGTATAGGAAGCAGGCAGGTGTTATTGTGTATAGGAAGCAGACAGGTGTTATTGTGTATAGGAAGCAGGCAGGTGTTATTGTGTATAGGAAGCAGGCAGGTGTTATTGTGTATAGGAAGCAGGGCAGGTGCTATTGTGTATAGGAAGCATGTAGGTGTTATTGTGTATAGGAAGCAGGCAGGTGTTATTGTGTATAGGAAGCAGACAGGTGTTATTGTGTGTATATTGTGTATAGGAAGCAGGCAGGTGTTATTGTGTATAGGAAGAAGGGCAGGTGCTATTGTGTATAGGAAGCAGACAGGTGTTATTGTGTATAGGAAGCAGACAGGTGTTATTGTGTATAGGAAGCAGGGCAGGTGTTATTGTGTATAGGAAGCAGACAGGTGTTATTGTGTATAGGAAGCAGGGCAGGTGTTATTGTGTATAGGAAGCAGGCAGGTGTTATTGTGTATAGGAAGCAGGCAGGTGTTATTGTGTATAGGAAGCAGGTAGGTGTTATTGTGTATAGGAAGCAGACAGGTGTTATTGTGTATAGGAAGCAGGCAGGTGCTATTGTGTATAGGAAGCAGGCAGGTGTTATTGTGTATAGGAAGCAGGCAGGTGTTATTGTGTATAGGAAGCAGACAGGTGTTATTGTGTATAGGAAGCATGTAGGTGTTATTGTGTATAGGAAGCAGGCAGGTGTTATTGTGTATAGGAAGCAGACAGGTGTTATTGTGTATAGGAAGCAGGACAGGTGTTATTGTGTATAGGAAGCAGGCAGGTGTTATTGTGTATAGGAAGCAGGCAGGTGTTATTGTGTATAGGAAGCAGACAGGTGTTATTGTGTATAGGAAGCAGGCATGTGTTATTGTGTATATAGGAAGCAGGCAGGTGTTATTGTGTATAGGAAGCAGACAGGTGTTATTGTGTATAGGAAGCAGACAGGTGTTATTGTGTATAGGAAGCATGCAGGTGTTATTGTGTATAGGTGTTATTGTGTATAGGAGGCAGACAGGTGTTATTGTGTATAGGAAGCAGGCAGGTGTTGTTGTTTATAGGAAGCAGGCAGGTGTTATTGTGTATAGGAAGCAGGCAGGTGTTATTGTTGTGGTGTTATTGTGTATAGGAAGCAGGCAGGTGTTATTGTGTATAGGAAACAGGCAGGTGTTATTGTGTATAGGAAGCAGGCAGGTGTGTTATTGTGTATAGGAAGCAGGCAGATGTTTTTATTGTGTATAGGAAGCAGGCAGGTAGGTGTTATTGTGTATAGGAAGCAGGCAGGTGTTATTGTGTATAGGAAGCAGGCAGGTGTTATTGTGTATAGGAAGCAGGGCAGGTGTGTTTGTGTATAGGAAGCATGTAGGTGTTATTGTGTATAGGAAGCGGACAGGTGTTATTGTGTATAGGAAACAGGACAGGTGCTATTGTGTATAGGAAGCATGTAGGTGTTATTGTGTATAGGAAGCAGACAGGTGTTATTGTGTATAGGAAGCAGGCAGGTGTTATTGTGTATAGGAAGCAGGCAGGTGTTATTGTGTATAGGAAGCAGACAGGTGTTATTGTGTATAGGATGCAGGCATGTGTTATTGTGTATAGGAAGCACATCAGATGTTACTGTGTTCATTCATTCATTCTATATTGTTTAGGTACAAAATGGAGATTTCACTTTGGAAGGAAGGGACGTGTACAGGAGTACACAGAGGAGTATAAGATGCATGTTACTTCATGTACAGAACACCAGACCCTGTACCTTCCAGTCCAGTATGTTTCGGCACAGGTCCTTGTATCCCGTGAAGTCCAGACTGCCGGTCATGTCATGCTGCAGAGGTCAAGGACAATCAAGTGCAGGAGAAGACCATCGCCACATTATTATTCAACCTCTACCTTTGTACCGTCTAGTGAAAACACCAATTTAAAAGATTTGCAACTGTCGTAGGTAGCCCAAACGTTTAGAAACAATTCCTCAATTCTATTTATTTATTGTTTAACCCCTCATTTAGAAGTTCGGAGCTATTATGAAAGATACTTTCAAGAATGGATACTGGGCGGCTTTGTTAATTTTGTCAAAGGCGTTTGCACAATGTTTTAATCAGTTTGGTTTATATGATCACAGTCTGTAGTGTTTCCTTTGACAGCATTATATTATCAGTATATGTAGATGGCGTCACATTCCGACTGGGAATAAGGATACATCCATCAGGGCGATCATGCTGCGGCAGGCTTCAAGCGAAAACCCCGAGAACGTGAACTCTGAAAACACATTGTCATGAAAATACATTTGGACATGTTGATTATTTAAAGATAAGCTCCCAACAAGAGATCATGTTCCACACGTGCGCGATCCATTGAGTTTCCTATAAGTTGGACATTCTGAGACCCTGCTCTACTTGATACAACGTTTGTTGTATCTCCACTGGTGAACACCCCAGATCCATTCGCTCTGATTGCTTCGTTCAGGAAGTGACGTCACCATCACTCATTTCATGGCACAGAATTTCTCTCGCACATGAACGTAAGCTGATTGGACTGCGTCTTGAAAGTCATGCCATTAGTATCGGACTCATGACGTAACAATGGTAGCGAATTGGTCCAGCGAATTTATCACGACAACATTGGCGTACAACATCGAGGTTGTAGCGAACTGCAAGATGGATCTACCTGTGAACGTAAATACCGGGGAGGAGGTACTATGATCAAAGGAGATGTTCAACATACATACATATTAGAATTACATGTTTGTTTGTTGATAAACGCTGCGTTCAGCGTTATTATTTACTAACCAGTATATGACGGTGGTTTGTAAATAACTAATTCTGGACCAGATAATCCAGTTATTGATATCTTGTGCATCAGTCCCCGCAGTAGTGATGTAATGTCCTGCATCAAGCAATTCAGAGAGCCTGACCACCCGATCCCGTTAGTTGCCTCTGACGACAAGCAAGAGGAACCGAAGACAGGTCAGAGCTGCAGAGTTGTAGTGACAGCACTAAATCACTTAGTTGCTATGCTTACCAGTTTCAAATAATAAACCCAGGATCTCTTTCAGTCTGTAAGCATCAATTATCTCTTCCTCCCCTACATCTATCATGAGATGATCCAGGTCCTCCATTATACCATCCACACCGTCAGGTGAGTCGATTTCCTAGCAAGGGATGCAAGTATATGTATGTTAATTCGTACATAACTTGAGAATTAATGACAAAACATACCGTTAATAAATAGTGTGTTCCATTGGAATTTACAATGAATTTTGAGTTTTTTATAATTACATTGTATTTAAAGGACTTTATTTAAGGGAACTGGGATGCCATAAAATCTAGTAAACCTACCTCAAACGATGTGACGTCATCCATCTCACTGAAACATGGAATCATGAATAATCATTGAATCATACTGCGATTTTGTAATACTATTATCACATTTTTTCCTTCGGTTAATGGCCGGTGGGGTTGCCTAGTGCCAGTAGTGGTTAAATCAGTCTACTTTGAGTGGCATTTAGGTGTTTTGAACAACGAGGAGAATTCTATCGATATATATACAACTTCTTTATTATCAATATGAACGACATTCTGGTGTAGCTACTAACACTTGCTTGATAATGGTGTTAGTAGCTACAAAGAAAAGTTATTATTAATAATAAAGAAGTTGTATAGCCATAGAACTCTCCTCGTTGTTAAATCTGTGGCACATCACACCCAAGGATGGGTTCGATTGGCCACGAGGATATAATGTAAGAAGCCCGTTTTCGATGTCCCTCGCCGTGATGTTCCTTGAAAATTGCTAAAAGCGCCGTAAAACCATACTCGCTCCTTCACGCACCCTTTGGGGCAGAACTTCAAATTCGATACACGTGCACAGCTTAAACCAAAATGTGCTAACCTGAAGGACTTCTGTTTCTCTGTGAATATCCTCAACAGGAAGTATGCCGCCTGATCTGGTTGGAATGTTGACGGAATGATGACGTAGTCGCCGATTGGAAGATGGTGTCGTCCACACACCTCCCTGGTCTGAGAGAAGGCCTTGCTCTTCCCCACTGGCCTGTTCTGTTGGAAGAACTCCTTGTCCAGCGGCCTGCCTTCATTTGATTCAGGAAGCTGAAGGGTGGAATGATAGTAAAGTTTACCGATGGTGATGTAGGTACACCTGTTACCTTTCGTGGTGGTCTTTCATATATCAGTGTCCATTAAGATACTGTTTTCATCCTGTCTCACAGTCCCTGAACCACATTATTCCCTTCCATCATGCCCTTTTTGCAACAGTTCTGAGAATATAGTACAAGGGTAATATCTGTGACAGGAAGTATGGCTATACCTACCTTGTATATGACATAACCTATGCCCAGGTACTCGTGTCCGTCTTTGAAGAGGCGTCGCGTGTCCTTCTGCATGAGAGCCACAATCATGGTGCACCGTCCACTGGTGTCGTCTGTCTCCATCAGCTTCACACGGAACTGAGGGTTCTTCCACATCGAGTCTGTGGGAGAGATCGAAGGTGATTTATATCGGCCATTGGTTCTTCACGGAATACCTTATTCCAAACCATGTCTAACTCTCTGTGGAATTTAGTTTCTAGTTTTAATCAATTAAGCAGGTACTTTCATCTTAAACCTTGGTTAAAGACAAATTAAAAGTTAATGTCAGGTTGTGAAACATTAGCGGTCAACGCAACATGTTTTAAGACAACCCTTTAACAGCATCGTATTTATATCACAGTTGTCCATAACACATGACAGTGACTTCAGAGGAAATGAGATTAATCTTTGTAAGTCACTTCCGGTGAGATGACATTTAACTATGATGTGTGCAAGTGACCTCCAGTGAGATGAATTCATTCTAGGTGTAAGTGACCGCTGGTGAGATGACATCTATCCATGCTATGTGTCAGTGACTTCCTGTGAGATTATAATAATTAGACGAGAGATTAATCAATGCTTTGAGATACTGACTTCCGCTGAGATAAAAGTAATTAGTGCAATGTGTAAGTCACCGTCAGTTGGATGCCCTTAATATGTGCTATATGTAGAAGTGACTACCAGTGGGATGACAGGAATCAGCGATGGTGACTTACCAACATATTTGAGGCAACCGCCGGCGTTGACATATTTGATCCACGACTTATTGTAGCTGGCGACGTCCCATTGTTTGTCAGTGGTCACCCCGACCTCCCCAAGATGAAGCGGGTCCAGATTACACAGGTCAATTTTGCTAAAATGGCCTCTGAAATCGTCCATACACATCCTGAAAACACAGAAACGTCAAATAGTTACAATATCTGTATTACCCGGGGTTGTTCCGTTGGATTTCTTTCTCTCAGAAATTAAAAATTAAAATTATCTATTTGTTGTTCCCTGGCTGATGTGTGGAGTCATTGTGTCCCATCTCAAGACAGTTCAGGGTGATCTACCGGATGATTGGTTCCCCTGAACAAAATTTATTTGTCAGCTTGATTGGTCCATTTGACATACAACGTTATCATTAATCAGCAGCAATCTCCACGAAAAACAGAGCGATTGTTTCACAAATTAAGGCGTTTATATATAAAATATTCTTACGATAAATGACACTGTGTCATTACAAATAACAGCATGATGAATGTCGTGAAATAACATACCAGTGAAAATTATTGTTATATCTCATATTATTAGAAACAAATCACCGTCCGTTTGATACCAGTGTGTAGCTAACTCACTGACCAGAACTCTCCGTCCTCATCGTCGCGCACACTCAACTGTCGTCTGGTGTCTTGTGCTACCAGATTCCACTCAGAAGCGCTAGACAAAACAAAGAGCGAGGACATTGGTCAACGCTTTGGTCACTGTAGTGGTCAAAGCAGCACGAGAAATGCTGATAGTTAACCAAAGACAATATAGGCCACGGTGTCTGTTTATATTGAAACTGTGCGGAGTTTATATTGTTGCAAGGAAAGAGGTTTTCACCTCGTCTTTTCACCAAGGTATTTTATAATTAGGAAAACAAAATATGACTAGTTATGGCAAAAACAGAAATAGACTATAATGTGACCTTTGACAGCTGCAGTTACAGGCTTAGTGTCTCGAGTGCCTGTAAACCCGAACAGGTCACCTTCAGATCCAACGCATTTATGATCAGTAATGTTTCATAGCAACATCTTGTATGAATGCCAATAATCCCTCTAAGCACTTCCATCTCAGAATTTGTTTCCAGGGCTTGATAACAACATTGAACTCCAGTAAATTTGGACGTCATCCGTCTTTGAAGATCATGCCAGAAAGACTCGACGTTCCTTTCGTGGACTTCAATTTCCAAGCACATATTTCGATTACGGTAACTAGCACAGACGCTTATGACAACTACGCCTAGTATCTGCAGACAGACATACTGTGGTTGAACGCTACCTATCGACAGACCAGCTCATCTATACGGGTACCTTGCACCTTACTTTAGATACTAACTAAGATCTGGGTTAGAAATGATCTCCAGCAACCAATGCTTGCCGTAAGAGGCGACTATTGCATTTTTATGTACTGGTGTTATGTAATCCATGTTAGAATTGGTCTTCAGCAAACCATTCTTGATTGGTGATCGGGTGGTCAGGCTCACTGACTTGGTTGACACATGACATCGTATCCCAACTGTCATGCTCATGCTGTTGGTCACCTGATTGTCTGGTCCAGACTCGATTATTTACAGACCGCTGCCATATAGCTGGAATACTGCTGAGAGCGGCGTTAAACAACAAACCAAACAGATATTGTAGGCACTAGTGGTGGGAATTGGTTAAAATCTCATAACTGATGATTGGTCCATTACAACCGATCAATCATCGAAAATAATTGGTTAGCGTCATTTATCAAATGTTCCTGTTGTCTTTGTAAAAAATAAAGAAAAACATGTAGTAATTTGTTGTTGTTTTTCAAATTAAACAAAATCCATTTGCAAATTTTGCATATTTAAAGGATTATTAGTATGTTAGGAACAGAGATTTCCTGGATTCTTTAAGATAAATTCAATCATGACTTGGAACGAGCTTGTTGTGCTTATGAAATGTAAATTTAATGACACAGACAAAAGCAACCTTGTGAAAAATATTGTTGATGCAAACAAGTGTTCCAAGATTGGTTGCGTTCGATTATGAGAAAACATGTTCGATTGCTTGGTCGTTTAGTCACTGCGACCAATCTTCGATTATTTCAATTAATCGGACCACCACTAGTAGGCACACATGGCTCACCCATCTGCCCATTTCCCTCTCCACTCCTGTCCATCTCCCCAGGGATTCCGGATCCTGATCAGTCTTGTTTTCGACCCGTCCATCAGCGGAACCTGTTGGAGACACAACACACCATGGCTAAGGATAACGACATCCTCACCAATAAACATTGATGTCACATATAGAGATAATTAGGGGTATCTTAAATATCATTTTTTGGAGTGATTATGGTTTTACGCCGCTTCTAACAATATTCCAGCAATATCACGGCAGGGGACATCAGAAATGGGCTTCACACATTGTACCCATGTGGGGAATCGAACCCAGGTCTTCGGCGTGACGAGCGTACGCTTTAACCACTAGTCTACTTCCCCTCATATAATGGGAATACAAATTGTGTGAATATATGATATTTACGATACAGGAGCACACGAAGGTACTACTTTCTGTATATCGTATACTGTAATGTTAAATTCATCGAAGTTTAAGTTATGTTGCTTATCGCTGTGGTAATTTCAGGAACCGCGTAGGAATATATAATCTGGGTGATTCGACCTCTGTCAATATGTCATGTAGTACCGCATGATTTGCAGCTGTGTGTGTTTACATCACACGTCGATACAACTATCTACTCATTCAGGGAACGTTACGCAATAGTTTCTGAGGAAGTTATCGACAAATCAATGTACACAGCTCAGTAAACACAGTTGGTGACCTCATTTGCATATTTATCAGATCAAGATACCGAGGTTTTCGGATGGATTTATCACACAACCCTCACAATTATATGATAAATACTAATATGTAAAATGGTAGAAGACATGACTCTCACCAGTTTTAGGCCTGTGATGCTGTAAGTATGGTTTCCAAGCAAGCCCTCGATTGAACTGCGGACGTTCACAGAGAAGTCGGGCTGAAACATCATCATATGGTAGGCTTTGATTATGGTAGGACGAGGGTAGCTAGGATCTACATCTGGGAGTGAGTGAGTGAATATGGTTTTACGCACTATTCCAGCAATAACACGGGGAGACACCAGAAATGGGCTTCACACATTGTAACCATGTGGGGAATCGAACCCGGGTCTTCGTGCGTGACGAGCGAACGCTTTAACCACTAAGCTACCACATCGCCCCTCTACATCTGGGAGGAACACCGAATGAATGAACATTAAGGACTTTACAGATTCATCACGGTTGCCGGTGTATTTTCCGAGCATCAACAAGACTGATAGCACTTCTACTGTGGACTGTGATACCAGGCCAGTCAGGACGTGGAATCATCCCCATTATCGGATCTTACACCATACAATAGGGTAAATGGAACCCATCTATCTTAGGAACCCCGGAGGGCAAACATACATGATGAGTCTTGTCATATATTCATTCCGCCCTGAAATCTCCAGAGATGACACAGTCCCATGGTTCTTGAGTCCTATTCTTATACTTATTGTGTCTTCATGGCAGACCGTTGTTTGGAACCTGTTTACCCCCAGATTCGTAAGAGAGGCAAACGGGAACTATGGGTCTTTTCTCCCTGGGCTCTACAGATGATCTCAATAGTTCGGTCCATTGGACAGATCCTACAGTGGAAAGAATACCCACACGACTTGTAGAAACCTGGAACCTACCTCTTTTATGGTCATCGAGCAGGTCATAACACCTCCTCTCTCTAGCGTCTTTTCCATCACCTCAGTCAGTTGGTCGGGTGGAATGTCTCCGATCACAATTGTCTCGCCTAGCCCACCCGTCAAGTCTTCCATGGCCTCTATCGCACTGCCGCCTTGAAGACTCTCATAGCATCTGTACATCCTGCACACAGATGGTAGATGTGAATGGCAAGCCAATGAGACGACAAAGACATCAACGTCCAATATAGGTAAACGTGCCCGAGAGAAGTAGGCTTCATGCACATGACGAGTACTATTTTGCTTAAAATGAGTAGAATCCTTACACAGTGTGATGAAACTTAATAAGGCATATATGAAGCATGGACATTTTGTGGATTCACTATTTACTGTAAAAAACTAAAAACAATCACATTTCACTCGTACACGTTTAACAATTTCACATTTGTATTCTCGACAACAAAATTCATAAACGGGTAGCAAACGTTTCAGTCTATTAATATGTGAGGAAAGAGCGATAAAAATGTACACATGGAGGTCACGTCTCACACACATACTTAGCATACGCTTTCTCCAAGAGAGCGCTCCAGAATTCAGTCCTGCTTGAGGAGTGCATGTAAAGCAGTTGAGGGTTGTCGCGGTCAAAGGTCGGCAGTCGATCGTCCACCACCACATCCACCCACTGTCCTTGGTACCACAACCGGAAGTGGAAAATCCCACAGTAGCCATCTTGGAAACTTTGTTCAGGGGGGACTACTCGCGCAAGAAGCCTTTTATTACAGGTAAGCGAGGCCACGGCAGCCAACAACCAACAATCACCTGAAAATATTAACAGATTTTAAAATATTCTTGCCCTGCTGTAATCGGAGTTATGTGAAATGAAGAACTATATTATTTAAATGTTGTCATATTACACGAATCGATTCCAGCAGATGCATTTCCGGTTGCAACCGGAAGGATGATACAAGGTAACTTTTACCATCACATCTTGAAAGAGCCAGAGAGTTAGACTTATCTCTGCTATAACTTTTCAATCCATTTCCTTTAGTTAGTTCATTGTTTTACAGTAATTCAGCTCTAAGAAGGGGAATAATCTATTCTGAACCGGACAATCCAGTGATCCATCTATGCCATCGGTGTACGATGACACGCAGTACATTAAGTCATCGAGGCTGGCCACCCGACCAGCATTGGTCACCTCTTCCAGTCCTGATTCCCCACAGGTTCACGGCGTTGAAGATGATGCCTGTTCTGACAGTCAAATGATGCTGATGGACCACGGATCAGATCAGACGCATGACCATTTCACCCGGCCACAGATAAGAGCCGCAACTTGGCACAACGATTTGCACTCCTTATAACGCCCACCCGTTCACCTAGATTCTTAGATACAAGCATCAAACATATCTGTTCAAACACCATTATGCATGTTTCTGGAAATCATTTGTATCTACGCCTGGAAGATGCAGGTTAAGAGGCGACCAACGGGATCGGGGTGGTCTGGCCCACTGACTTGGCTGATGAATGTTATCGTATCGCATATGCATAGGTCGAGGCTCATGATGTCAGTCACGGTGTTGTCTTGTCCAGACTTTACATACTGCAGCCATATTGCTGAATATTGCGTCAAACAAGAAACATACATCTGTTTCTATTTGGTATGACATGTTTGGTTGACCGTTATCCATAACGACGTGTTTCCGTGTGCATGTGTAAGTCTGTACGAATATGTCGCATCTACTGTGGGTATATGTTTGTTTCTTGTTTAAAGCCGCACTCCGCAATATTCCAGATGGTCCGGTCTGGACCAGACAATCAGGTGATCAACAGCATGAGCATGGCAACTGGGATACGATGACATGTGTCAACCACCCGATCACCGCTGGGTTGCTGAAGACCAATTCTAACATGGATCTTCACATGTACATGAAAAAACAAGGTCGTTGAACAGAGGAGATATTATAGGATAAGATGTTTGTAGCCAAATTACATACCTAAGTATCCCTGTACAACATCAAATCGACTGAAGTCTTCATTAATCCACTGTGGATTCTCGCAGAATTCCTGGGAATATAAGCAGAATGTGTATTTATAATGTATCGCAAGTACATGAATATGCACTTCATCTGGGGGTTTTAACCGGCAAGGGACGGGGACGATAGCAACTTCATAAGCAGCCAACAGATTGAACATTTGAGCAAACCTTGATGTCAGTCTTCCAAATTCACACGAAGAGTGGTTGACAGGGCCGGGTATGCGTTTGGTGACATTTGTATTAGCAAAGGTTAAATAGAGATCAAAGTTTGAAATATCGCGAAAGAAGGAACACACGTGTTGAGCCCCTCTATAAAACAACATGAATAAAAACGTTCATTGCATTTTGAGAAAACAGGGTTATTGTGCATGTACATGTACTTGATCAAATATGGCAAAACAAAACATAAATTGAGCATTGCTTTTAAAAAATCGATCACCGAGTAATGGCAATAAATAGTTGCAATAAATGGGAAAGTGGCTGCTGTGATGGCCATATTGAAATCGGAGGAGACCCCAACAATTCCATAACGTCACTGGTTGGAATAAGCACGTGACGCGGGGACCATATCAAAATCTCAAATTCGGGTGGTTGGAATAATCATGTGCATTTTCAGCTACCTTTGTCCAATGATATTTACAAGCGACAGAAAAGAATTCTTTGACATAAGTTCACTTGAGTTTCAATCTGGTGAGATCCGAAAAAATCGGCTCATTGATAATTCCTATGGAGACAAGTGCATGTGCTTTTGTTATCAGTCATGAAGGAAAGTCATTGACGTTAGTCATGTACTGTAGGTCAACAGAAAACATAGAACGTTTGTCATTGGCTGTATCGATCAAGTTACATTATATTCCCGCACGTTTATATATACTGCTTAGATCATTATCATATCTATACTTCCGGGCGTAAATGTAAACGCGTGAATGTTTGATCACCAGAGTCATCCTTTGTGCTTAGTGCAGACCCAAACAATGTTTGTGTCACGTGCTTAGTACCGTACTGAATCACGCGCTCCGACCTATATATCACGTGTCTCGGATTTTACCTGTCATATTTACAGTGATGGCTGCAGTTGTTTATTTTTCATCAGACCACAGCTGTGAACATATATTTTAATTATTAACAAGCTCTGCACACAATGACTCCCCGACACGGTATGACTAACGCGTACATAGTCTCTGAAAGTTTATAATTGTGAAGGAGTGAGTGGGTGAGTTAAGTTTTACGCCGCACTCAGCAATATTCGGCGGTCTGTAAATAATCGAGTCTGGACCAGACAATCCAGTGATCAATAGCATGAGCATCGATCTGCGCAATTGGGAACCGATGACATGTGTCAACCAAGTCAGCGAGTCTGACCACCTGATCCGTTAGTCGCCTCTTATGACAAGCATGGGTTACTGAAGATCAATATTCTAACCCGGACTTTCACGGGTCTAATTGTGAAGGAAAGAAGTCAGTACATTTTGATTAAAATGAAATGGGTTAAGATGGGCATTTAGGCCTGAACCTAAAAAATGGACTTGTTTCATTTAGGAAGTATTTTTCGCTGCTTTTTGCAAAATTATATGGATATCATATGGCCTTCACATAGCCATAGCGTATTGCTGCTGCTGCTGCTGCTGCTGCTGCTCCTACTACAACTACAACTACACTAAATCTACACGACAGCGAGAGGCGGTGGGGTAGCCTAGTGGTTAAAGCGTTCGCTCGTCACGCCGAAGACCCGGGTTCGATTCCCCACATGGGTACAAAGTGTGAAGACCATTTCTCGTGTACCCCGCCGTGATATTGCTGGGATATTGCTAAAAGCGACGTAAAACCATACTCACTCACTCACTCACTCACTACACGAGAGGGCTACACTTACGTGCGGTCGTCTCCATATGACTGTCCTGTCGGGTGGTTTGGTGTAACATAGGGAGGCAACTTCTGCCGGGAACTCCGGATCCTCGAACAACACCCCTTCGGACAAACACTTGTCCCGTATTGAATTGTAGTCCTGATGGTCAGCGAAGGCCATCTTTGACCGATAGACCGTGTCTCGCGCCCGAGGCATTGTAAAGTCTGAAAGTCGTCGTGCTTCACAAGAAGTCTTGGCTTGTATATCGTGTCAATACAACCGCACGTCTAGCCTGCCTATGAATGCGGTGTTTTGAAAGGACACTCGGTAGTTATACATATTGATCGGGTTACATGTAGGTTGGTGGGAAAACCTCAGGTGTATATCATAACACACACGTCATATAGCCCGATATGGGAAAGGTGTATTCCTGGGGAATCCCTCAGGTGTGGATGTATACAAATGATGAACTCAATTTTACAAGTCATGTGATGACAATAGAATATTGACTTTGGTGATGCAAGGGGGCGGTTCAAAGTTTAGATGGTGGATAAAAAACGTATTCCTATGACGTTTTTAAACACGTACCAGGAATCACCGTTTCCACGGAGTACCAGTACACAAAGAGTCTTTTAAAAAATGTTGTGATTCTTGTAATTCCTATCGATTTACCTATACGATAGTGATGTGTTTCATTTATTTATTTATTTATTTTAAAAAAAGAGAGTATTTTAACGGATGGAAAGTAATGAACATGTTAATGACAGCACGCCTCATGCCTGTTTTTGAATTGAGTGAATTACGACTTTTATCCCACATCGAACTTTTGAACTGCCCCCTAAAGGTTTACGTCAGGGTCACATGCCTCGAAAGAGTGTCACCGTAACATTGAGCCATTCAAGGGACTTTCATTGTATGATCTGCGCACTTTACGTACAACTGTTTATGAGGGTACTAGGTTCTGTGTTCATACTATCTATAGAATAGACATTTCTCCCCGGAACAAGAGGAGTGGTTTCTGAATCCTCAGGGACCATATAATAACCTTATTATATGGTCTTGGTATCAGCGACACAGTCACTTGAAACTGGTACTTAGGTGTCCTACTTGTTATATATGCATATCCGGTTACTCGGCCACAACTGTAGATATGTGTATCACCTGACAGTTAAGCTTCCCGGAAAACCTAATTCCCCACAACGTTATCCTGGAAAAATCGATGCATATCCGAGAACGCAGTAACACGTCAGAGATAAAGTTAAAAAAGAACTTGGGTAGGATGCAGTCCGGGTACATGTATACTTGTATTAACACCAATTCATTGCAAAAGAATAAATAAGGATAATTATTAAGATTTAAAATCGAGAGAGAGAGAGAGAGAGAGAGAGAGAGAGAGAGAGAGAGAGAGAGAGAGAGAGAGAGAGAGAGAGAGAGAGAGAGAGAGAGAGAGAGAGAGAGAGAGAGAGAGAGAGAGAGAGAGAGAGAGAATGAAAACAATTGTTGCCCCAAAACCACCAAATTTGTACCGGCTGTGAGGTGTGTGAGTGAGTTTAGTTTTACGCCGCATTCAGCAATATTCCAGCTATATGGCGCCGGTCTGTACCAGACAATCCAGTGATCAACATCATGAGCATCGATCTGCGCAATTCTGAACCGATGACATTTTTCAACCATGTCAGCGAGCCTGACCACCCGATCCCATTAGTTGCCTCTTACGACAAGCATGGGTTACTGAAGGTTTATTCTAACCCGGACCTTCACGGGTTGTGAAGTGTGTGACAATGCACCGTAAATTACATATAGGCAGGGAGATAGGAATCTTAAAAAGGACTTTACTGAGGAGAGATTAGAAATGAGCAATGCTGGGGTTTTTCTAAGTCCAAAGCGACTTATTTGGAACAGACCATGGCTTTATGCAAATTAGTGTGCGATGATATTGTATTACAAAGGACACTTTTTAAATGCCCATGTTGAATTTGACTTAGCTCCATTATAAACGATAGCTGACTTAAAAAAAAAGTACCTTTGATACTGAAACTATTAAGGATGTAGGTACAATGGAGTCTCACTATCACTATAAAAACAAACAGGTCGGAGGGGTCGTCTCAAAAGCAAAATGGGGACGGGCTGTCGCAGATGGTGGTTGGAGTCGGGCTGGGTTGATATCTGGATAGAGATATCACCCAAGATAAGATAATCCTTTAGGGGAAGTAAACGGCATGTCATAACAATTTACAAATAATATCCAGTTGTGTCGACCTTCGGGTGGTCATGCCACCTATATATTTTGAGACATTTAATACGATGGCCTATTTAAACTTTTCTGTGGGTATCATACTCTTTCACAAAAACTTTATGAAAGAAAGTCACGCAAGAAGTTAATCAATAGATGAGACATATTCAACACACGTGAAAAAGCATAAATATCTTTGATATGGCCCCTTGTGCCTGTAGGCAGCCCATGCATTTCATGCTAGGTGAGTTGACGGTCAGTCGTCATACCTGCCTGAGCGACCTAATTGCTATCTATAGTCTGATCTCTTGTTCTCAGCAGTTATTCGTATTTTTTGCCCGATTTTACGAGTAAAGATGCTTTCCTGGATATCCTATTAAGCATCCCACTGAACGCCCAGTTAGGCCGATGTGGGGTATTTCGACATATGCTATTTGCAATTGTGTAAATTTTAGGGATACAGAGTAACAGCCTAAAACAGTTTATTTTCGATTTCCGACAGTACTTTAATGTACCTTGTTCATGGTTAATAATCTGAAAGTGTTATGATGACCTATGTGAACGGACAGATGTTGTACATAATATATTTTTAATATCTTTACACGCTATATTTTATTTCTTGATGTTTATAAATCGATTCTATTGATTAACCCCTAACAACTTCACTAACGAGGACGGATGGTGTTTGGGTAGTTGCACTCTCGTCGTTCCCATGCAGTTGCCTGTACACGGATATCTAGACTAACAACTAGTCTCTGAAATGAACATATTTTACTGAAAAAAAACGTTCATAGTAAAAAAATATATATATAATGAAAAGGAGCCCTGAGACTTTCTTCATTTTCAGAACCTGAAGCTGAGGAAATCTAGACTTGCAACATTTTCTAGACTTGCGTGGGCTTTCTTGGATATATTTGCTTCTGGGTCTGTACGAGAGACTAACGGATATGGATAGGTATGATTGTCGTGACTCAGAGACACTCCCTCTGTCCAGTACGGGGAAATATGTTACCATTTGCAAGGTAGAAGGGCCACGCCACTAGTGCATGCGTTGCTAAGATACGTGATAAACCTGGAAACTTTAGAAACAAAGGTGAGTATAGGGAACCGAGAAAGCCTTTGTGAAAGGGTATATATGGTAATATGCATCTGTATCCTGACAGTGTGAAAAACAACTGTTCGGCTTGTTACAGCGGCAGGGTGGATAGACCAGTGAAGCATTTACCCGGAATGTATGTGTGGCTTGCTATAGAGGCAGTGTGGATTGTTGCGAGAAGCATCTACCCGGAATGTATGTGTGGCTGGCTATAGAGGCAGTGTGGATTGTTGCGAGAAGCATCTACCCGGAATGGATGTGTGGCAGGTTACAGTGGCATGGCTGACGGTGGAGAGAGGCATCCACCCGGAATGGATGTGTGGCTAGTAATAGAGGCAGTGTGGATTGTTGAGAGAAGCATCTACCCGGAATGTGTGTGGCTAGTAATAGAGGCAGTGTGGATTGTTGAGAGAAGCATCAACCCGGAATGGATGTGTGGCTAGTAATAGAGGCAGTGTGGATTGTTGAGAGAAGCATCTACCCGGAATGGATGTGTGGCTAGCTATAGAGGCAGTGTGGATTGTTGAGAGAAGCATCTACCCGGAATGGATGTGTGGCTAGTAATAGAGGCAGTGTGGATTGTTGAGAGAAGCATCAACCAGGAAATGGATGTGTGTTGTAATAGGCAGTGTGGATTGTTGAGAGAAGCATCTACCCGGAATGGATGTGTGGCTAGTAATAGAGGCAGTGTGGATTGTTGAGAGAAGCATCTACCCGGAATGGATGTGTGGCTAGTAATAGAGGCAGTGTGGATTGTTGAGAGAAGCATCTACCCGGAATGGATGTGTGGCTAGTAATAGAGGCAGTGTGGATTGTTGAGAGAAGCATCTACCCGGAATGGATGTGTGGCTAGTAATAGAGGCAGTGTGGATTGTTGAGAGAAGCATCTACCCGGAATGGATGTGTGGCTAGTAATAGAGGCAGTGTGGATTGTTGAGAGAAGCATCTACCCGGAATGGATGTGTGGCTAGTAATAGAGGCAGTGTGGATTGTTGAGAGAAGCATCTACCCGGAATGGATGTGTGGCTAGTAATAGAGGCAGTGTGGATTGTTGAGAGAAGCATCTACCCGGAATGGATGTGTGGCTAGTAATAGAGGCAGTGTGGATTGTTGAGAGAAGCATCTACCCGGAATGGATGTGTGGCTAGTAATAGAGGCAGGAATGGATGTGTGGCAGTGTGGATTGTTGAGAGAAGCATCTACCCGGAATGGATGTGTGGCTAGTAATAGAGGCAGTGTGGATTGTTGAGAGAAGCATCTACCCGGAATGGATGTGTGGCTAGTAATAGAGGCAGTGTGGATTGTTGAGAGAAGCATCTACCCGGAATGGATGTGTGGCTAGTAATAGAGGCAGTGTGGATTGTTGAGAGAAGCATCTACCCGGAATGTGTGTGTGCTAGTAATAGAGGCAGTGTGGATTGTTGAGAGAAGCATCTACCCGGAATGGATGTGTGGCTAGTAATAGAGGCAGTGTGGATTGTTGAGAGAAGCATCTACCCGGAATGGATGTGGGCTAGTAATAGAGGCAGTGTGGATTGTTGAGAGAGAAGCATCTACCCGGAATGGATGTGTGGCTAGTAATAGAGGCAGTGTGGATTGTTGAGAGAAGCATCTACCCGGAATGGATGTGTGGCTAGTAATAGAGGCAGAGGCAGTGTGGATTGTTGAGAGAAGCATCTACCCGGAATGGATGTGTGGCTAGTAATAGAGGCAGTGTGGATTGTTGAGAGAAGCATCTACCCGGAATGGATGTGTGGCTAGTAATAGAGGCAGTGTGGATTGTTGAGAGAAGCATCTACCCGGAATGGATGTGTGGCTAGTAGTAATAGAGGCAGTGTGGATTGTTGAGAGAAGCATCTGGCATGTGTGAAAGCGGAATGGATGTGTGGCTAGTAATAGAGGCAGTGTGGATTGTTGAGAGAAGCATCTACCCGGAATGGATGTGTGGCTAGTAATAGAGGCAGTGTGGATTGTTGTTGAGAAAGCATCTACCCGGAATGGATGTGTGGCTAGGTAATACAGTGGTGGATTGTTGAGGAGAAGCATCCACCCGGAATGGATGTGTGGCTAGTAATAGAGGCAGTGTGGATTGTTGAGAGAAGCATCTACCCGGAATGTGGCTGTGTGAGCAGTGTGGATTGTAGATAGAGGCAGTGAGGCAGTGTGGATTGTTGAGAAAGCATCTACCCGGAATGGATGTGTGGCTAGTAATAGAGGCAGTGTGGATTGTTGAGAGAAGCATCTACCCGAAATGGATGTGTGGCTAGTAATAGAGGCAGTGTGGATTGTTGAGAGAAGCATCTACCCGGAATGGATGTGTGGCTAGTAATAGAGGCAGTGTGGATTGTTGAGAGAAGCATCTACCCGGAATGGATGTGTGGCTAGTAATAGAGGCAGTGTGGATTGTTGAGAGAAGCATCTACCCGGAATGGATGTGTGGCTAGTAATAGAGGCAGTGTGGATTGTTGAGAGAAGCATCTACCCGGAATGGATGTGTGGCTAGTAATAGAGGCAGTGTGGATTGTTGAGAGAAGCATCTACCCGGAATGGATGTGTGGCTGGCTATAGAGGCAGTGTGGATTGTTGAGAGAAGCATCTACCCGGAATGGATGTGTGGCTAGTAATAGAGGCAGTGTGGATTGTTGAGAGAAGCATCCATGTGTGGCTAGTAATAGAGGCAGTGTGGATTGTTGGAATGGATGTGTGGCTAGCTATAGAGGCAGTGTGGATTGTTGAGAGAAGCATCTACCCGGAATGGATGTGTGGCTAGTAATAGAGGCAGTGTGGATTGTTGAGAGAAGCATCTACCCGGAATGGATGTGTGGCTAGTAATAGAGGCAGTGTGGAGTAATAGAGTCAGTGTGGATTGTTGAGAGAAGCATCTACCCGGAATGGATGTGTGGCTGGTAATAGAGGCAGTGTGGATTGTTGAGAGAAGCATCTACCCGGAATGGATGTGTGGCTAGTAATAAAGGCAGTGTGGATTGTTGAGAAAGCATCTACCCGGAATGGATGTGTGGCAGGTTACAGTGGCATGGTGGACGGTGGAGGGAGGCATCCACCCGGAATGGATGTGTGGCAGGTTACAGTGGCATGGTGGACGGTGGAGAGAGGCATCCACCCGGAATGGATGTGTGGCTGGTTATAGCGGCCGGAGCTAGTGTGGAGACAGGCTTCTACCCGGAACGAGTGATGAAGATGTTTGCTACTAGAGGTTTCACGTGACTTCATTTTTACCAAGATAAATTCCAACGCTTTTGTAATGTTTTGGTTTAAATTTATTTTGCATAAATAGAAATATAGACAACAGAAACAGCAGATCATGTATTAAACTCTAGCATGTAATTATGCAAGTCCAATATGTCGATATGTGTATCATGTGCTTCAAACAAGCAGCTCACCAGTGGTCAGAAATACACCACGTGACAAGCAACTGCATAGCAAGAATATCTTCAAGAAGGCACTGTATTGAATAAATAGGAAGGACTGCTTAACAGAAACACAAGAAACAAAAATAATACAAGGATGATCTGAAGTATTTAAGGCACTTATCTGAGTGTGGTATATACGTTGCCTCTTTTAACAGGCATATTTTGGTTTTAGTAGAATGGTTTCTGAGTTAAATGAACTAGAGTGTCCATGCTATATCATGGACTCGTGGAAGATTCTGAGACAAATATTATCATTTGTTGAGAAAGATATTCCGTGGGTAAAACTAGCTCCTGAGACAGAGTAAAGGTGTTTAAAATTACAGATCTACCTCAACCGTAGAAAATTGTATTATGTACGAACGAAAGACAGCTATGTGCACACGCAATATTGCAACAAATCATTATGACCGACCATTATCCAGGGGTGTATATTTCTTTAAAAACTGCTGAACAAAATATTGAAAATAAAAACCCACAGAAAGTCCATGTTTGGATGCTCTTAAAACCTTTTTCGGCTTCAATGTTCTGAGAAATAAATTATATAAAACAATGACCGACAAAAATATTTGTGTCGGCAAGAATGTCCAAATGGTCAGACCATGATTGGCTTTATGCCAGGTGCACCAAGAGCTACTGAAAAGACACATCCTGCGATTCTACCGAACAAGTTTGATTGCATTTCGCCTGATCACAGTTGGTGGAATCAGTGGTCCCAGTTGGCGTAAACTGCACCAACACCAAGTAGTATTCAGATCGGACTCGTGTGTGAGACGTAATACCAGTTGACACACTTCTTGAATCACCATAGTGGCACGAGGCAGGAAACGGAAGTTCGTCTGACTTCTGCTCATGAATACATCGTGGTTTGAATAAACTGAAACAGTCAGAAAAAGTGTAATTTATAAACATGACAGTAGTGATGATGATGATGATGAAGACTTGGACTGAGGTCGGTCCTAAGATTAAAATACTCACGTTATTGATATTGGTGAAATCTGCTGTTCTGTGCGCTTCTGTGAAAAGATAACAGCGTGCATTCAACTAATTGCTAAATATTCCAACGGCAGATTATTTTCCAGTTGTGAGAACGATGTGCGCTTAACGTTTGTCATAGAGCAAGGATACCACCAAATGGTCAGTTATTGCGAGTGAGTGAGTTTAGTTTTACGCCGCACTCGGCAATATTTCAGCAATATGGCGCCGGTCTGTAAATAATCGAGTCTGGACCAGACATGATCAACAGCATGAGCATCGATCTACGCAATTGGGATACGATGACATGTGTCAACCAAGTCAGCGAGCCTGACCACCCGATCCCGTTAGTCGCTTCTTACGACAAGCATGGGTTACTGAAGACCAATTCTAAACCAGATATTCACTGGTCTGGTCAGTTATCATTATCCAATAATCACATTCACGGAAATATTCAACAAAGATATTTTCTATCGATTTAATTTGGTTTGTTGTTTATTGTTTTTGCAATATGATGTGTAAATAACCGAACCATTAGGTCGCGTCTGATAACCAGCATGGGTTGTTGGGCCCTTCTCTAACCTGGAGCCCCAGGGCATGCTACAGACGATGCAAGAATAATGTGTGTATGACTTCAGCTTTAATATTTGGACCTTAACCCAATAAGCTTCTTACCAATCATTGTCTTTAGCCGCACTGCACACACGATGAAGTCTCCGAACTCAATTTGGCCTTCCTTGTTGCTGTACCGCATCACGATCGACTGTAGAGTGCGATTACTCAACCGGAAACCTGCCCGAGATATACAGTGTCATAAGTAGGTTGCTAGCACGGGGTCGTTGTGAATATATAAGAACGCAATGCACTTCCGGTTAAATGACGTCACTGACCAGCGCTTCCAGCTTGCTTCTGAGGAAACGTGTGTACTCTGCTGGTTGAATGATATTACTTCGGCTGGGAAATGCAAACCCTATGCATGCAGAGTATAAATTACATTTTTGAATAGAAACTTGGTACAAAATGTGTACACTTCCGGTTTAATTACGATGCACTTTTTATTTCAGCCAGACTCAGCTATAGTTGCTTTACTTACCTTTCTTAAGATTTTCAGGTTTTTTGCAAAGAGTTTTGTGTTTTTTGCCACACTTACCCATGAAGCCAGCCAGCCACGTAAGCAGTTACAACGCTTACTCCTAAACTGAGTCTCTCTCAACCGGAGTTGCCCACTTACCCACTGAGTTGAGAGCCAGCCTAAGCTCATAGGAGTTGAAGGATCCGCTCCGGTCTATGTCATACTCTCTGAACACACCCTAGAACAAATACATATGAGAACAAATTACAACAGTCCTGTCATAAGGGCCGTACCGTGCTTGCTCCGCGTTTTAAAAGATTACAGAAAGTAACTGCATGGTTTACAGCGCTGCTGACAACAACGATATTCTGTCTCAGCCCAAAATCAACCCACTCTGATGCCTTCTTTCATATAACAATTCTTGGAAGAAAACAAATCAGGGATTTCGTTAAAAATCTGTTTCTTGCGACGTAAAAATAAGATACTTTCATTCATAAGATAGTTTGACCCCAATCGTAATTTCCTCGAGGCGAGGGTTTGAGAGTAAGGACGACCAGATATGAAAAGAACCAGAAAAAGGGAACAGGGCAACAGGTCTTAACATGTTCAGTCGTAACATCAGTGTGTAGTGATTTGTGTGAGCCCGAGTGACAAAGATGAATGTGCCAGTCGGTCTTAAGCCTATTTCAAGTCTAGGTCCAGTCGATGCAGTAAGTAACTGACGTCAAACTATGGAAGCCCAGTGAATCAGAACGGTAACATTTTCACTGAAATTGTTCCGATTAAGAAGATTAATGTCACTTTGTATACACATAACTTTACAAATGAACGCCCAGGTCGTATTGAATTGAAGAAGGCTTCACTGTAATCAGGGTGATCCTAAACTCCTATTTTCTTATACACACGGGGCGGTGGGGTAGCCTAATGGTTAAAGCGTCCGCTCGTCACGCTGGAGGCTTGGGTTCGATTCCTCAAATGGGTACAATGTGCAAAACCCATTTCAGGTGTCCCCCGCCGTGATATTGCTGGAGTATTGCTAGGAGTATGGTATGTAAAACCATACTCACTCACTCTAATACATACAACATAAGCAACAGTAACAGAACATAGGTTTAACTGACTTGAATGTGTGTGAAGGATAGTCTGGTTTTACGTTACAAGAAATATTTCACTTCAAACAATTTACTCATGAGTGGAATCAAACAGACAAACGCTTGAACCACAAGGCCTCTGTGATGTCCCTTGAACGATCTGAAGCAAATCAGGCTCGTGTCCAGTATCTCTTTACATCCGTTACAACAGCACTTACCTCCCATCTTTTGAGGTCAGCCCACAAATCTCGGAACTCCTCGAATCCAAGCTTTCCAGAGAGGTCACCCTGGGAGTAGAGGTCAAGGACAAACAACCTAAACGTCTCCATGACTACCAATTTAGTTACTTATATGAAGTAATAACTGGAATTATATGTGCTACATTGGTGTATATGCCCATTGTATATCTCACAGCACCAAAGGATACGTCATGCAGCGCCACCATACTCCGGCAGACGTCAATAGAAAAGCCCGAGAACTGGAACTCTGAAAACAAAATGTATCTGCTGTCAAATGTTCAAGTGACTCATAGAAATTGAAAATTTGAAAATGTAACAAACGGCATTTTCTGTTGGTAACACTTTGCGTAGTGACGCTTGAAGATGAAAACTTTGCTCACATCTTGTTCTTGAGATTAAGATATTTTCATAAGTCAATTGTTTGCAAATATATTTTTATGTGAATTCCTCTTTGATGCAATGTATCAAGTTATTTCAAGAGTTGAGTTATTTCAACTCCAGGTAGAACGCAAGGGGAACCGTTCCATTCGTGTATGTAGAAAGCTTCCACCCCCATCCCCATCCCCGACAGAACTTTTACCATTGGCTTGAGTCATCATTGTAATTTTCCGATAGGTGTATGCATAATGTAAACGTGTGTACGTTTATATCTATTGTAAATCCTTCTGTTTAGAGAGCGAGTGAATGATCCCCCAGATATAGCACGGCGCCTGTATATTAATAATACGTCGCAGTAACGTGCCACGCCATTGGTAAGCAATCACCTCTTGCAGCTACCACAGCTCTAATATATCAGGAACAAATGTTAGGGCATCTGTGAAGTTCCAATAGTCCTGGATGGTTGTCAAACCGAAACATGAGTTTCATTAACCAGTTCAGACAATGACCTACTTTTCAGCCGATCCGAAAAGAGACACCACAAACAGCTATGGTTACACTGAATTCCAATTCCTTGTTTCATAAGAAAATGGTATTTACAAATGAATTTTAATTTTAAACTTTAACAACATCGTATTTTCTATATTTTATGGCGAGGTGTAGGAAGCATGACCTTAACTAAGACGTCACAGACTGCCCCTGTTTGATGAGGTCGTAAAATGATTCACAACTCATCTGGCTCACTGGTTACACCTGTTATGTGTTTTTGCGCTCATTCAGTGTAGTTTTGTAACGCACAATGTGATTGATATAATAACAAGTCCGTACCAGACCTCCAAACTTTTCTAGTGGCAGAGCCTCGTTTTGAGATTTCCATGATTTCCAGATATCCGTTTGTCAGAACACGCTGTACGACAAAGCACGCTGCACAAGGTGTTTGCAAGGATTAGACTGACTGACTGACTGACTGAGTTTGGGTTTACGCCGCTTTTAGCAATATTCCAGCAACATCACGGCGGGGGACACCAGAAATGGGCTTCACACATTGTGCCCATTCGAAACCCGGGTCTTCGGTGTGACGAGCCAACGCTTTAACCATTAGGCTACCCCACCGCCCCTTGCAAGGATTAGAAGGAGCGTAGAGTTGCAATATACAAGTGCTTAGATGTATCAATTAATACTGATTAATATTTATGTATCCAGTTGAATGAATTTGTTTCAGAATTCTGGACTAGTTATTGTACTAACTTGCGCAATAGGACGGAACTCAGCCAGCAGGAAACGAGACTGTTGTGTAATCAATGTTTTGACTTGATTTTTTGCTATGGTAAGTGCATGGATTTTTCATCTTAGGGCACTTGTAAGGTTCTTTTACACTAAAGTTCCTGGATGGTTCTGATACTACTAAGACACCTGCTTAGTTCTTTGATCTTAAGGTTTCTGTATGATTTCTGTAACGTAAACCATATACATGGATTAAATTATCCCAAGGCCGTTTTAATCACTTACTTTTCGTGAAGGCGAAGTTGAGGACATCCTGTAGCTCGTAGGCGTCAACCTCCATGTCGTCTCCGGCGATGGTGCGGAACCTGGCCAGGCGTTCCTCTTGTTCCCGGCTGTCTGCTGACGTCGGGGGCGGCGGCTGTAAGGAAGTAGTGAGAGGAAATGTACACAACTACACGGGGACAGACATTATTCTTAAGCTAATTGCTAGCAATTATTAGAAACGTCGTCACTTCGTGCTTCTATTCACACTCGTTTGTATTGTGTTATTGTACGGACTAGTATTATATAGATACCCATGCAGTGTATTATCAGAATCACGAAAACATTCAACTACTTTCAACTTATCAAGGCCCTATTAACACCTTATGCTTGATTAACGTCCCTATCGGGTATGCTTGGATGAGAGGAGGATGTTTTAAATAACACTACCAATTTATCAGGCCATTACGATGACACGTGTTTTAAACGTTGTAACCCCCAAATCGTAGAACATCAACTGGTATTGAATTTAATATCAATATGCCAAGGAGATTCATTATTAAATATTATGAGTTGGAGTAAAAGCTATTCCACTCCATAGCAGATGTGATGTCAACAAAAATGTGTCAGAGTGCTGAATCAAAATGTCAAGGTCAAAGAGGATAAAAAGGGAGATAATCCTCGAACAACATATCAGTACTTCCTGTGTAAGAGGCAGTAAATTTAACAAGCAAATCGCGCCAAGGAACCATGCTGTTAGAAGGTGGGCGCGTTCTACACTACATGCCTGGGTGTCAGTAGGATGGGGAAGAATGATCTAGCCATCATTCTTGTGATATTTTCTAATCTAAGTATCAGCCAAAACGCATGCATGAGAATGACAGATGTTGAATGAATATGAGGTTCCTGAAACGGATGGTGGAAACGGCTCCCACCCTCCCCATAATCCTCAATTTATCACCCTGAGTCGTATTTGCTCGCCCCAGAATTCCGAACATAAATCTTAAAAGCGCGTCAGAATTCACTGACAGGCAGAACATCGGTCATTGTCAAAAGCCTTCACAACATTAGTTTTAGCCATGTAGGTTTGAATTTGAATTGAAGTAACTGCAAAATGCTGAAAAATAAAATATATAAAGAATTGTTTGTTCAGCGTTATATTTGTCAAGTCGACTGCTCAAAACAAATAAGATTTTATTTTCGTCCCGCGCCGGAGTCCAGTATACCCTGTGTTGGCCATGGACAACACATGCCGGTAGGCAGCTTCAGGGCACTGTAGAAGACACGTAATTGACGTGTATGTAGAAAACTCGTTATGCGAATGTAGTAAATGGTACACTGGAGCCTCGGAGTTAACATAGCATGGTTTGAATGAGGTGTTAACAAACAGAAATTATACTGCGTGTGAAACAGGTAACTAGGTGCTCATAAAGATACTCACGTAGTCATTCTGAAATGGAAGGTGCACTGAACGAATGAAAATGATTGTGCATGACATGAGAGTAAAATGTCTTGTACATGGGCAACCATCCATACCTGATCCACATAGAATACAACACCGAACTATAAAATACTCACGAAGTTCGACGGTTGGGTTACAGCGTTGGAACCTCCTACCAACGCTTGTGGATAACATGTATGGATCTACACACAATTTACACAGACACTAGGTCATAACATAGAATCTTGTAAACCATGCAGGGGTATTCACACAAAAAAACATTAGACATTAGTGAATCTAATTCTTGTTCATGCATCAATAAAAAACACACTACGCGTCCTAACTTGCGAAACATGCGTAGACAAACATACATTTTGTTCTAAAGATGCAATTCAGGGCAGTGGTCCCTAAGGTTAAAATCCTAAGACCATGCGTTCATATTTGATCGACAGTTTGTCAGCAGTATCAAGTTTGTGGGCTTCACAAGGTCATAAATGTTGAGTTCCTTTTGAGTTCCGAGTTTACTAAAAATCAAACAGGGTTATGGGGTAGCCTCCTGGTTGAAGCGTTCACGTTGATGATCCGGGTTCGATTCCCCGCAAGGATATAATGTTTCGGTTGTCCACCGCCGTGATGTTGCTGTGATATTGCTAAAGGCGGCGTAAAACCCAACTCAACTCAATCACTCACTCATTAGACCAAACGGCTGTATGGTTGCGTCCTGCTACACATTGATGCGGACTACTTTGAGAGCACTCACCTCGGTTTCAACAAACTTGGTTTCCTCGTCCAGTTCCCTGCAATGCGCAACACAAACATGAAGCCAGTTGTATACCAGTGGCGTATTTTAAGTTGTCCATCGGTCTTGGTGGGGACATAGGTTGATGAAGCCTCTATATGAGTTTACATCAACCCACGTGACCCGATGGACAAAGGGTGGAATAACTTATTTATATTGCAAGTATAACTGACGCATGTACGATCTCTGCAGGATCGGTCAGAATACTATAGCAGACGACAAAGAAAAAAACCCGAGTTATTTCCCCTAGATCTATTTCATTCGTACAAAATATCGTAAATATCTGGAGAAAAGTGTCTTACACCATTAATTCGAGATACCTAAATTTGTCTTTCGTGTTTTCGAACAGGATTCAAAACGAAGTTTCGATGCTGAACGGATCTACTGTAAAAGAATGGAGAGATCACTGAGCTGTGCTCCAATCATTCGCTGGTCGCAAGGAACTCAAGCCCTTGTCAACGACAATGACTATTCAGTATTCTGGATGATTGTATGCTCCTTGTTAATACACCCACGTTTGATGGTGGCCAAGATAAAACAAACAAGTAAAGGGTATTTGATGTTCTGGGTGCCGTTGTACAAAACAACCTTAGCGCCAAGACTACCTGAAGTCTATGTTGAGGTATGGGAGTTACGGTCTACTCAAAGCTAAGATCGCTTTGTACAGCGGCACCCTGGGGCTCCTTTCACGAAGCAACCTTTACTAAGGTTAACCTTAACCCCCATTCTTTAACATTGCACTAGGGTTACCTTAATGAATTACGATCACCTTAGTGCTTTGTGAAAGGAGGCCCTGGGCCTCAAGTGTGCAGTGATTCCGCGACTATTGTCAGTTTAGTAAAGTTTGCTAACGTTTTTAATCCAAGTGTATACATTCGTTTGGCCTGCAATATTTTTTTTCGAGCTGGGCCTACAATTTCGAAGCTCTCTTAGTGCTGAGATACTAGTAAGTGCCATACATTAACATTACCTTACGATAATCTTAGCGCTAAGAGAGCTTCGAAAATCTAGGCCCTGGTGTACATGCATGTCCACAGTGTCTCACTCTTTGACAGTTACTTACTGAGTCAGCTTGACCTTCTCTGTGAAGATCCGCAGCAGGAACTCCCCCTCCTGGTTTGGTTTGAATGTCGAGGGAACGATGACGTAATTTCCGGGCGGAAGTTTGTGCCTCCCACAAGACTCGCGTCTGTTGATAAAGGGTGGTGACTTCGCCACGGATGCGTTGTAGAGAAAGAAGTTTTTATCCAGCGTGCCTTGGTGATTGTCTTTCAGCTGGAGGACATGACACATAAACAGACCGGATATTGATGAAAATCTAATGTATTGCATCCTTTGCCCTAAAAAATGTTCGTGTAGCTTAATGTTGCTTGGCACCGTAGTCAGCAATCCAAAATCACCGGAGATACACACCAGTGACGCAACTCTGAGCTCGAGGTGAAAAATATATTGTATATGACGTAAGGGAATAGACCATCGAGAAGGAATACCGTATTTCCTCTAATAAGCGCTCCTGGCGCTTATTTTTTCAACGGACCTCCAGACCCGGCGCTTATTAGAGGACCGGCACTTATTAAAATACCCTGTATTTTGAAAAGCAGGGATGAGTACAAAGCCTTCATTCTGTCCATCATTTAAGGGACCATTCCTTAATATATTTATTTTTAGACCAAGGGAGAATACATTTGCGAAAAAATGCAAAGGTCTCTATACCCGGGGCTTATTAGAGGCCCGGCGCTTATTTCTTAAAGCACTGCTTTATCCCCGGCGGTTATTTGAGGCCCCGCGCTTAATAGAGAACCGGCGCTTAATAGAGGAAATACCGGTATACCTTGTATATGATGTAACCGATCTGGAGCAGGTCGACCCCCTCCTGTCTCTTCTTCCTTCTGTCTTTCTGCAGCAGTGCCACTATCACCGTGCACTCATCCTCGTCGTCCGTCTCGTCCGGGTCGATCAACGTCACGCGGAACTGGGGGTTCGTCCAGAAAGTTTCTATAGAGGAATTAAATTCAGAAAAATATGATATATTATGTTCTTGTATAGTTTGAATGATAGTTAACGTTGCTAGATTATCAGCGTAGTTGTTCATAGGCCCTAAGCACAAATGACACGACCCACATGTTGGTTACAAACTTTAACCTTTAAAGCGGTTTTGTTTGTGATTTGAATATGCACAATGGCCATGGTATAATAATCGATGCTCAAGCTCAAGCTAAATAGTTCGATTTCTTGGCCACGGTAAAGTCTTCGTCAAGCGTGTGTATGTTACTATGTGGCTCCAGTACCTTGGAGCCTTTATGTTTCGGTGTAGTGGCTATCGTTAACCTACGAATCGAGACCTGCTTTTACCAAGAAGGAAACCAGCGAGTGCTTCGACCAATGAACCAGTGTATATGCAGGATGTGCTACAGCCGTACGTCCTCTACTCTGCACATTGCGTCAGTGTCATGTAATGTTGGGGTTCGCATAAGGTCCTGCAGGGAGTTGGGTTCTGTCGGTATTACACCGCCATATTGGTCGTGAGTGTTCACGAGTTGTGGAAGGAACGCTGTGGTTTGCCGAGTGAGTGAGTGAATATTTATCGTCACATCGGCAATATTTCAGCCATATCGTGACGAGTGTGGTTTGACGACGTGCAAGACTGTAATGGTGATGTACCTGGGTGGTTTCCTCGGCAACCTCCACCACTGACGTGTTTGACCCAACTTCCGGTGTGGGTTGTGACCTCCCACCTCTTGACGGAGATCGCGCTCTCGTTGCACACGGGGTCAAGGTTACAGATCTCCAGCTCGGAGAAGTTGTTCAGGAAGTCAAACAAATTCATCCTGTCGCAGATGAAACACATTTGAGAGTATCATTAAAACAGTTAACGAAAATTTCATTTTGACCTTTTGGCTCAGATACTGCTTTCAGTAACGCTATGGAACCTGTCAAAACGTGTATCCCTTACGAAATTGAACTTGTTAAGGGTTACACACCTCAGCCTAGTTACGATCTGTAAACATTTCTCATTTGATAAGCAAATCTAGTTTTCAAGTAAACACTTTCTTTCAGACATCAGCCAAGTCAAGTCAAGTCAAGTTTATTGTATTCAAGGCCTCCGGCCCATATACAAGGAGTTACATACATATACATAACTACAGTACATAATACAATGGCAATTATAATGGTTATGGCTTAGATAACCTATCATTTCTCAAGACAACAGCATGTTTTACAAATAGAGAAAGGTTACGGATAACAGTTTCATTTCTTGAAGTGAGAATCGAGACAAAGGCTATCGTTGGATATTTTGATAGATAATTACTTGAAATATACATACCTTCAATACCTCATAGCTGAGGGTAACTTTAAAATATCTCGATAGTGAGGCGTACAGACGGTCATAACTAACTGACCAACTAGATAATCAACTAGAACCTACCTAGAACACTAAGAATACCATTGATAGAACCAAAGGTGAACACAGCAACGTTTACATCACCATTTGAATGTTAACGCCGAACCTAAATACATACAATGTTAGGTGTTGCCTGAGCAATTCCCGTACGACTACGAGTTATCTTTCTTGGTACCACTACACCAGATTTGAAGACCCGTGAAGACCCATGAAGACCCGGGTTAGAATCTGTCTCCAGCAACCCATGCTTATAGTAAGGGGCAACTAATGGGATCGGGTGGTTAGGCGGGCTGATTTGGTTTACACATGTCATCATACCCCAATTGCATGGGATCACGAGATTGTCTGGTCCACTGTGACTCGATTATGTACAGACCGCCGTCATATAGCTGGGATATTGCTGAGTGCGGCGTTAAACAACAAGCCAACACTATGAAAAGAAAGAGAAGTAAACTAACCAGAACTCGCCGTCGTCATCAAACGTGAGCCCGAGACTCTGCTTCTTGTACTCCGGGAGTCTCTCCCACTCCTGCGACCTGAAACAGTCACGACACTGTCTGGGAGGACACCTCAGTTAGCAGGTTTAATGTAACATATGTTGTATTTGGGTTTACACATTCTCGATAAAGTGCAGATTCGTGTGCACTCGGCTAGTGGAAGCCAGAGTGGGCTATATGGTTTACTTTGTGTACCAGCGATGAGGTGTCTCAGTCTGGGAGTGACTTCGATTCCAGGATGGGACTCGACCCAAAAAGGTACTAGAATATTTACGTTCTCGAAAAGCGTAATCCAAAACACATTTGCTGTTGAATAACTTTGTCATAAAAAGTCGACACATTGTCTAATCAACATTAAGGCACACTCGTTTTCAAAAAGAGAACCGCCAGCCTTCCCTGGCTGAATGCCATTATCCCTACCCACGGACCTGGATTTACACAATCATCATAATAACGCAGAAGTACCAAGGGAATCATAATACCACAAATACCAAAGGGAATCCCTTATGCCCACACAAGTACCAAGGGAATAACGTAATAACACAAGAAGTACCAAGGGAATCATCGCCAACACAAGGAGTACCAAGAGAATCATAATAACACAAGTGAAATTATAGGGAATCATCATAACACAGAGGGTGCCAGAGAGATGCTAATAATAACACAGTGCCAAGAGAATCATAATGCCACACAGAAATTGCCAAGGGAATCATAATAACACAAGTAACAAGGGAATCATAATAACACGCGGTACCGAAATCATAATATGCTGCACAGAAGTACCAAGGGAATCATAATAACACAAATTACCCAGGAGATCATGAATTACACAGAGTTGCCAAGGGTCCTTAATAGCTTACAGATTTCCATAGTTTTCGAAATTGATTTCCATTGAATCCAAATGTTGCTTACAATATGATTAATGAGGATACGTCCCATTGGACCCAACACTGGGGATATTGATATATCGTCCTAGTGTGTTTCATTGGACACAACACTGGGGATATTGATATATCGTCCTAGTGTGTTTCATTGGACACAACACTGGGGATATTGATATATCGTCCTAGTGTGTTTCATTGGACACAACACTGGGGTATTGATATATCGTCCTAGTGTGTTTCAGGGTGTTACTTTAAGAGGGATAAAGGCCATTTCAATATGCCTGCACTTGAATGAGCGACGTGCATGTACAAATAATTGTACATGAGAGTAGGTACTTATATTACATGGATAGCCTATACCATGCCACAGTTTAGCATGAACAGAGTGAGCGTGCTTAGTTATACACTGCTTTTAGCAATATTCCAACAATAGGCTCAGTGGCGGGGGTGGGGGGTTATCAGGGGATTCGAAGACACCCCCCCTTGAAAATGACTTCAGATCACATTGAAGATTTTATTTTTTTTGCGTTGGCGGAGCCAATGGGGGGTTAAAAGGGTTCGAACCCTCTGAACCCCCTCCTTCCAAAATTCCTGGATCCGCCCATGAGGCTTCACACATTGTGCTCATGTAGGGAATTGAACCCGGGTCTTCGGCGTGATGAGCGAATGCTTTACCGATAGGCTACCCCACCTTTAACAAGAATATCCCACACAGACAAATTTGAATGTTTTATCCTCTTAAAAATGCCGAACGCCAGGTCTTTTAACATCTTTTGGTATAGTTGGGGTGGGGTAGCCTAGTGGTTAAAGCGTTCGCTCTCACGCAGAAGACCCGGGTTAGATTCCCCACATGGGTACAGTGTGTGAAGCCAATTTCTGGAATCACCTGCCGTGATATTGCTGGTTCATTGCTAAAAGCGACGTAAAACCATACTCAGTAGGAATCGAACCGCCAGCCTTCCTGGCTGACGCTCTGTCCACTACCCATGGGCGTGGTTACACAATCATCATAATAACACAAGTACTGAGGGAATCATCAGTGAAATGTGTAACAACCCCACAATGTGTCAAGTGTCTACCTGTCACTCCAAGCCCCATTCCACTCCTTATCGTTACCCCAGGGGTTCCTAACGCGGAGTAGAGTCGTGTGATTCCCAGAGCCATCCACGTCGATCTGTCAGACAGAAACACCATGTATTTCACAATTGTATATCATATATTATAAGCTGATGTAATGTACAAACCAAATCGCCTATATGGTATTAATTCAAAATGATCACTAGTATTATGAAAATATAATAGCTTATATCTGACATACACGTAAAACGTGTATATACATATGGTATATGTACACATATGGACGGTATGAGTCATAAGCATGGAGAAAGGACCAACAGTGGTTAGTAAACCGCCGTGATCTGGTTTGATCTTAACATATTTATTCAAGAGAATAGATTGGGTACAAGTTATTCCAACTTAGTGAAACCCTCTCCTATTTACAGTGCTTACATGCAAAAGTGAAACAAACTATATGTACAGGGATAGAAACATATATACAAAAGGAGAATAAGACATTTAAAATAAAGTTATACATTGAATACATGAATTATTTAGATCATAAACATTACATCCAATTACTGAACCTTTTGGAGTTTGATATATACTTTTGAACTTCTTTAAAAATTTGAATATTGTCACTGTACGGAAGATCTGCATTGCCATTTAATAGTACGTGATCTGGTTATAGCTGATGTTGTACTGTATAGTCTTGTGTTGCTTTTAGTATTAGAAATCAGCAATTTCACTTTTAGAATACTCGAAATGGGCGTACGAGTGGGGTATTATCTCATAGGAACAGGAACCCGGACATTAGGCGTGAGGAGTGAACGCTTTAACCACTAGACTACCCCACCACCGACGTAGTACTGTAACTAGTGATAATGTTGTTCCTGCTGCGGCAGTACCTGTCTGACTGATGTCAGGCTGTAGGCGTGGCCAACGATGAGGCCGTTGTCAAGGCGGTGATGCTGGTCTACCGTCTGGCCGTCATACTACAACAAAAGACTCACGCATTATTTAAGCACGCAGTTCATGTTTTATCAAAATTACTACGACATATTTCACCATTTATTTTATATATTAGAACATTATTTCGAAAGCCACTGTCATTCAATATCTATCCGAGGACTGATTTACAAATATTTTAAACATGTGTAAATGTTCCTATTATTGAATGTCGAACAGTTATACGTACTGTTATAGTTATTTAGATAAATATTTTTAATACTCAAAATGCTTCTAACGCAGTTTCTGTATTATCAAAATTACAACATTATATACTTTCCAATTAAAATTACATTTTAAAACATTATTTCGAAAGCCACTGTGATTCAATACCTATCCGAAGACCGATTTAAAAATAGTTGAAAAACATGTAAATGTTCCTATTATTGAGTGTCGAACAATATGTATTATTACAGCTACAAAGCTATTCACCTTCAAACAATTTAGATGGATATATCTAATACACTATTTATCAAAAGTTTCTTACATCGATTGAGCAGGCCATGAGCGCCGATCTCTCGTGAGACTTCAGCATGATCTGGAGGAGGTTGGGCGGCCATTCCTTCAAAGTGAACACTTCCGCCAGACCCCCAGTGAAGTCCTCCATTGCCTCGTGCGCGGACCCGCCCTTCAGCGACTCGAATGACCCGTGTAGCCTGACAGATGAATGCACAGGGTATGCATGAGACGTCTGTTAGATGAATGCACGGAGTATGTGACAAGGAATGTACAGATATGCATGAGGCGTTTGTCAGAGAGACGAACTCTTTAAAATGAGATCTCAGTTCTCGCTACCACAAAACAATGATCAGCGGATATACCACAACCGGTCAGAACGACCGTTCATCCGATTCTAGCAGAACCAGCATGCCGGGACATGGCAACTGGAATGTGTTTTCTAATATTTCAACCTCGAAAAGGTTATGGCAACGATAGTTACGTACAATACGTCCATATCTCGGTATACATTTGGTGCTTCTGTACTATATTGAATATCTGTCAGACATTCAGTCATTTTTCTTTTGTTACGTTCTCAATGTTTAGTTTGGAATCGAAGTCGCCAGTTTAAATCAAACGCCGTAAAGCACAAGAACGCTGGTTTCTGATTGGCTAACGTCGACTACCGAACAACTTATTTTGCCCCCAAATGACATTTGAAGGATATATTTTTAAACACATTTTATTCAAAAAGATAAAAATGCCAAGGTGACATAAATCCATCTTGATCCACATATCTTAAAGTTGTAAAGTCAACAATACACTTCTGTGGGACCTGAATACATGGTTTGTATTGATAATTGCAAATTTCTCTATCGGACCATAAAAATAGAGTATGTTACTTTAATAGTCCAGTAGCACTGTTTACAACTAGGTGTTATAAGTCCCGTAAGTAGGTCACGGCTCTTCGCGAGACCTTAGTACTTCCGGTGATAACCAACCTTTCATACCTTTTCGAATGGTCACATGGTTGTCAGTTGACAGTAAGGAACCAATAATCCTTGCAGGAATAACAAATTTCCGATCTAACCATCCCCATGTTAGCCAACTATTACAACTGTCAACAGCTGTGAGCCAAGCATGGTTGTACACTTGGTCCGGTCTAGTAAAGTCAAATTTGGCGGTCGCGCAATTTTGAACCAGAGCTGGTTCTTGAATATACGCTTGTCACCGGAAATCTGGTACCGGAAGTAAGCTGGGCCCCGTCTCGCATATCGGAAGTAGCGCCTCGCGAAACTTACAGGTCCTATTTAGTGTTTAAAGACTCACTTGGCATACGCTTTCTCTAAGAGGGCGCTCCAGAACTCCCTCTGTGTGTCCGAGTGCATGTAGATGAGCTGACCGCGGTAGGTCGGTAGCAGTCGGTCGTCCACCACCACATCCAGCCACTCGCCCTGATACCACAACCGGAACCGGAAGGCTCCACAGTAGTCATGTTGGAAACTCTGGTCAGGGGGGACAACTCTGGCGAACAACTTCTGGTCGCAGGTGAGGGATGCAACTGCGGCTATCAACCAACAGTCATCTGGAAATACAAGGGGTGTGATGTACATGGTTTAGAAAATAACGTAATGGACACAATAAGATCACGTCTACAAGGACTGGACATGTACACTTGATATTAGAAGTGGTTCATTTTAGTTTTTACAGTATTTTATCTTCATTGTTTTGACATTTGAGTGATGGGTTCACTGATGTTTGTTTGTTTGTTGTTTAACGCCCCACTGAACAATATTCCAGCTATATGGCGGTGGTCTGTAAATAACCGAGTCTGGACCAGACATTCCAGTGATCAACAGCATGAGCATCGATCTACGCAATTGGGATACGATGACATGTGTCAACCAAGTCAGCGAGCCTGACCACACGATCCCCTTAGTCGCTTCTTACAAGCACGAGATGCTAAAGACCAGTTCTAACTCGGATCTTCTCGGGTGATGTGTTCTTGAATATAACCAGGGACGGACCAGCGGAATGATTTAAGCATTACGTCTAAAATAACGCCCGTACGCTACATGTGGGAGATACGAATGTCGTAATGCTAGCGACGACGTCTTAAACGTTAGAACAGCCACCTACCGAGCTCTCCTTGAACCACGTCGAACCTGCTGGCACCCTCATCGATCCACTGGGGGTTGGAACATATCTCCTGCAACAATACACACACAGATGAAGCAGTGAGTCAGTGGTTTACATCACAGGTACCAATACATACTACGTCGACGTGATCGAAGGTTCGACACAACCGACAACTAATGAAAAAACCATTGAGACATACTGATACGTATATTCGACAGATTAAAGTTCGACACAACAGTGACTGACAGGTGCTCGTAAGTGCGCATGGCCGTTATACGCCCAATGCAGTTATTGTTATGTTAGTCAGTGTTATTATTATCCATCATAATCTCAATAACAGTTTCACATTGCACCACACTGACGAGTATCTCCAAACAACTCCTTCCCCCCACCTAATCACTCTCACATACAGTTGGACCTATCGTCTTGGCCATTAACAGGAGGAGCGAGTGATCAAAACTGAGGCCAGAATTTCATCGCATCGGTGGACCGTTGCTGATAAGCACTTAGTCTCTGAATATATATAATTTCTTGAAACAAATAACTCCATTTACAATGAAAAAGAGCCCCTGGGAGCTGGGAGATTTTGAGGAAAATCTCGACTTGCTTCATTTATGGCTATTGCATTGCAGAAAGGGCTGTGAGGGAGGGAAATAACGTGAGACAGACTACGTTGCTGATGACATACATCCTGCTTGATCAAGACGTGACGAGTTGACGGATTCTTTGCTATAGCAGTTATGATACTGACTGTCACGATAAAACAATACTCACACTTTCGAGGGACACAAATCTTAATTGATAAATTGGGAGTGACCTATTTGTTGTATATGTTTACACGTTGAAATTATTTGATTTAATTCAAACGTAAAACGACGTATTTAGGGGGATAAGTAAAAGTATAAACTAAAACAATTATATACATTAAAACTGGAGCAACTTTGAATAATACTTACTGGCACTGCCAATTTGGAGAGCCTAGTACAATTTTAACATGAGTATTAATTAGATAAAGATACCACAAGAACACACATTGCATGGCACAATAAAACACCGACAGATCCCTATCGCTACAAACTTTATAGGGCTTGACTCGTCTTATCATATATATCAGTATGCTGATGTTGTGAGCGTTAACAACTGTAAGTACATGTTGTAGTATAATAATCCAGGGACCTGCTGTAACACGGGTGAAAATGATTAATTCTAAAACTATGCTACTCAACAAAATGCGCTACATATCTCTACCACATAACAGACAGGTAGGTATGCAAGGTGGTGCTGGCTGATTAACGTACATATGTCGCCTCTCCATTATCATACATCAGTAGCAGCAGAGTTGCTGTTACCGTACAACTCCGGTAATTCTTGCTGTCGGTAACCTACGACGGTAAGCTGGGTCCCGTTTCACTACGATCCTGACATTACGACTGTCGTAACTCCTGTTGGGTTGGGCTGTTGTTTAACGCCGTACTCAGCAATATTCCAGCTATATTGCGGCGGTCTGTAAATAATCGAGTCTGGACCAGACAATCTAGTAATCAACAGCATGAGCATCGATCTACGCAACTGGGATACGATGACATGTGTCAACCACGTCAGCAAGGCTGACCACCCGATCCCGCTATTCGGCAAGCATGGATTACTGAAGATCAATTCTAGCCCGGATCTTCACGGTTCGTAACTCCGTGTAGGTTTAACATACATTTACGATAGTCGTAGCGCTACGAATGTCGTAGCTCCGTGTAGTTTAACATGCACTTACGACAGACGTAGCGCTACGAGTGTTGAAACTACTGTAGTGTAACAAAGACCTACGACGGTCGTAGAGCTACGAGTGTCAAACATAGTATGATATCTCACTACAGCCGTAGCGCTACGGTCACTTTGTGAAATGGGACCCTGTTCTAAATTAAAAAGTGAATGACTAATGCTTTACGCGGCTTTGTGCGGGTCTGTAGGTTGGTTCTTCAGTTCCAGCTTGATTTGGTTTTCTTTGGTGTGAACGAGTTTTGTTTCACACCGCATTGAAAAGCAATTCAGCGATATCACTAAACGTGACAGCTTAGTTCTGGGGGCTAGTCAGAAGTGAGGCCGGATTTTGACGTTTACCACCAACGAGTTCGTGTATGTTGATGACAAACCAACAATCATGATTACGACCAATCTGGGATTCGAACCCACGATCACAGGGATCGAGGCACGCTTCAGGAGCGTAACTCTGCTCAGCGACCTCGGGCTCCTGAGACTTCAGGCTACCCCAACCACAAGTAACCCAACATAACATAAGACAATGGCATCGGAAGTGCTTATCATATTTGTCGGACTACTAAATCTATATTTTTTGTCAATTTTATGTCGAAGTCATGCTGGATGTCGTGGAGATAAAACACCAAATGGTCGATCACGGGGATTGTGTGTCTGACACTGGGATATTGGTAACCTGACCGTACTTGACTTCAAGGTGTACTCTTCTACCTGATACCTGTCCGAGCAAGGTAACACCTGCACAACCTGACCTATACTCACGTACTGAGAACACGCGCTTAACACAACCACGCGCTTAACACAACCATCAATTGATGAACGATATATGTCAGCTTCATACTCGATCAATAGTCGCAACATGCTGCTCCCCAAACCACATTTAATAATGGCTCATTATCGATAGTCGTTTTCAGTTCGGCCAGGCAACAAGTGGGCCCTCTCAAAGGTGTATTACGACTTTACAATAGGCATTAGGAACAGTTTGACATACATACACGATGGGCAGATCAGTATTGCATTTAATTATAGGCAGGTGTCTGTTCGTACGATAATACAAATAAAATGCACATATATACTGCTCTATTGATCATGAACTCAGATTACACGGTATACTTGAGAAGGTATTCGACATATATTGTATGCATTATGGCAGCAGGTACAAGAATAAGGACGTTTATACCACATGTGTGGACAATACACGTAGTAGATGCTGCTTTGATAGCCAATTGATACATCAGCTCACTCGATGCATGGCATAAAATGGCGTCATATAGTGTTACAGGTTGTAATGGACTGCATTAGGCGGTGCAGCGGAGGAAGGAAAACAAGAAAGAGTGCGATTCGAACCCATGATCATACGATCATGCCGTACTCAAGGGACGTAACTCTGCACAATGTGGTACAGTGTTATGCGGCGTAAGATGGCGTTACATGAGAAAACCAACCTCAAGTAGGTACATATTATAGCGTTATATTGGATTAAGGTGACATAACATATTGGGCAAAATAAAGCGTTAGGTTGAAGTTATAGGTTTGGTATGGGGCAGATGATTTCATAGAAATAAAGGAAATATATTTTTAGATATAATGGTGTTCATTATTCGGACTCCAGAATACCGTCGGCTCACTGGTGCGTAATCAGAATAACGGCGTTTCACTGGTCCGGACGTCGGTTTAATGGGGGCTCACTGTATTTGTAGAATGTAGAACATTGTCATCTTTGACGTTCTCGGTGAGGAATGAAATATTGTAAGGAAAGTCACCGTTAACATAAAAATGGCGTTAAAACGAGGAGTGAAAGAGACGTGTGGTATATAACCAACGTGTCTGGTTTGATCGACGTCAGTATCAGCTGACATAAATCACTTCCACTGTATCCAAATAGTTGATACAGGGTTTGCATTTATTTCTACATATATAGGACACGGGACATGTATTCACTATTTTTATTATTCAGTACAAAGTCGCTGCCCCACTGGCCAACATCTCGCAAAAGGGGCGGTGGGATAGCCTAGTGGTTAAAGCGTTGGCTCGTCACGCCGAAGACCCGGGTTCGAATCCCCACATGGGAACAATGTGTGAGGCCAATTTCTGGTGTCCCCCGACGTGATGTTGCTGGAATATTGCTAAAAGCGGCGGAAAACAAAGCTCAGTCAGTCAGTCATCTCACAAAATGTGAGGAACCCTAAAGAGACTTAGAAACAATGCACAGTGGAAAATAATAATCTTTTAAATAGGTAGGACTGTTTGCGACCATAATTAATGCCTATGAGACTAAATCTACGTTTTAATTACAGAGAGAACCTGTTCACGAAGTAGGCTTACAGAATAAGGACTCCCTTTACGTTCATGGTGAATATATTGATATGCCTGCCGTTACAATATCCTGTCTCTGGTTAATCGTTTACATCAGCTGTTGAATATGTCGCTCTAGCAGGGAGACTATACGGAGCATAGTCAAAGTGAATGTCGGATGTACTGCGTCATTCTTCATCACACAGGGGCTCTGTACCTATTTTGGGGAAACACGTACGTAATCAGTAACCTAGAAATAAATTTAATTTTTCGGTAAAGAACCTTAAGTAAGGCTATCAAATCCAAAATGATAACTAGTAGGATAAATGGAGGACAGTTGATAACAAACGATGAGAAAAAACAGATACTTACAACATAAATTCGTACAAGTTTAAAAGTGTTTGCACTTCACAGACCGTTGTTGTCTAAAACTGAGATTGAATAACTTGAATACCTAACCTAGCGAGGTAGCATGGCAGTTACAAGGGAACGTTAGAAAGGTGGAGAGAAAGTGCATTTTTACGTTGTGATAAGAAACGCATCAAATAGCATGGTTGGCTAGACTTACTTTAGGTCGCTTCCACTCTATTTGCCGTCTCGGCGGCTGACTGTAATATAGCGAGCTGCTCTCCGCGGGGAACTCGGGATCCTCAAAAAGTGCACGCCTCGCCAGGCAGTTCCTTTTGATTTCCTCATAGCTCTGCCCAGCGACGCCGTGAATGTGATGCTGCCTCATGGACCTGCGAGGTCTACGTCCGGAGATGACGAAGCGGTAGCGGGTTTGATACATTGTGGCGACAGATCGGTGGAAATATAATAGGCAAGATTGATCAAATTCCCGCTCACGGTATAAGTACCATTGAGCGTGGCAGTTTACGCGGAAGGAGTTTAGGCCATGCTCTGTGTCAACACGAAACCCGCCATTACGCTGAGGTTAAGGAGTCTCTGCTGAAACAATGTATCATTCCCGCGGTGATTACAGAGGTTGACAATAACAGACAAACTTGATCCGTACTTGTACGTGTGTGAAGACGGACAGGCCTTGACTCGAAAAGGGTCGTGGGGTCACATTTCATTGGTAACGGAGACGCTTCTCAAGCTCTGCCGCACCTAGTCGACTCAACTTTCAAGTCCGCTTCTTAAAGTGAATGTATCTATTTGCGCCCATTTCTTATCAGCGTTCTTAACTGGCACGCCGTGGCAGGAAGGTAGAGACGGGGCTAAAAGGAAAAATACATGTACAACAGATAGAGAGAGTAGCAAAAGGGCTCTCTCCATGGGCGGATCCAGGAATTTTGAAAGGGGGGTTCAGGGAGTTCGAACCCCCTGAATCCCCCAATCCCCCCTCGAAAAAAACGCAAAAAAAAAAATCTTCAATGTGGTCTTAAGTCATATTCAAACCCCACCACCACCCCCACCCCCACCCATGCTCTCTGTCTCTCTCTGTCACACACACAGAGAAGCAAAGAGTCTTAAAGGGACCGTTCATAATTTATGGCTGGGTGTGGGGGGGAGGTGGTGTGTGGGGGTGATGATGATTTTTATGGAGAAGTATGTACAATCTGAATGCCCCCCCCCAAATGTATGTACAAAATAAGTCTCACACACACACACACACACACACACACACACACACACACACACACACACACCACCCCGCATGTCGTGTACAACATCAATGACTCTCCCTCCCCTTCCCATTATTTCTAGGCATAATGTTAAACATATTTTTATGAACAAAATTGCTGACCCCCACTAGTACGTGTGTACAAAATTGCTGACCGCCCTAGCTCCCCAGAACAAAATGGGTGAACCCCCCTAAAATCATCACCCACCACCCACCACCCCCAGCCATAAATTATGAACGGCCCCTAAAGTAAAATACAATATACACACGCTTACACACACACATTCACGTCTGTGAGTGAGTGAGTGAGTGTGTATATATACAAGTACATTAGATGTCAAGTCAAAGTTAAGTATTATGTGGGATGCAGAATACATGGAGTGGATTTCCCCAACGACACGTATCATTGTTTATGATCGTACAGGTCCATGTATGTACTTAGAATATACGTAAAGTCGTCCCCCCATTTCGTTCAGAAATAGAATAAGCATTCATTAATGTAAATGGGATTTATGAAATATTTTATTAAGACGTGACGCTGGGTATGGCTAACGTTTCCGCGCAGCTGTGGTTTGGTAACCTAATATCGTGTCTGGTGCGGTTAAACGCGTAGTTTCTCAACTAGACTAACGCTTAGTCTCTGAATGTATAAATTTTAGATAGTAACAAATAATCCCAATTGAAAAGGACTGACTGACTGAGTTTGGTTTTTACGCCGCTTTTAGCAATATTCCAGCAACATCACGGCGGGGGACACCAGAAATGGGCTTCACACATTGTGCCCATGTGGGGATTCGAACCCGGGTTATCGGCGTGACAAGCAAAAGGTTTAACCATTAGGCTACGCCACCGCCCCAATTGAAAAGGAGCCCCAGTGAGGTGGGAAAAACAGAACCTGAGAAAATCTAGACTTGCTTCATTTAGAGATTTAACATTGCAGGAAGGGTTAACCAGAAGGGTAAATAATGTGGCTTAGGGACTGTGAGACAGACTTGTTCTCAACCATCAATGTGAAATATCAGAATTTAATTTACTCAAAGCCAGTCATGATTATATAAACAGGCACGGCTCCATGTAATTAGGAATAGGTATGTTTGCCTTTTTGTGGTGTACTGAGTGTTTCCACACACTGTTGGTTATATGACGTAGAATTTATTTACTAATTTGATGTTATGGGCCTCCTTTCACAAAGCACCAAGGTGATCGTAAGTCACTAAGGTAACCTTAGTGCAATGTTAAAGAATGGGAGTTAAGGTTAACCTTAGTAAAGGTTGCTTCGTGAAAGGAGCCCCAGGACCATTCACTGATGCTGGCACTGACACAATGTGGCAGATTCGTAATGGTTGTGAGTTACCAGGAGAATGTAACGCGTGGCATTGCACACAATATCAGATATATATCGACATGTAATCAATCATTCAATCAATCAGTCAATCAATCAATATGGATGGATGGATTTGTGGATGAATAAATGAATGAATGAATGCGAGTGACTTATAGCGATAATTGACTTTCCATCATTTGTGAGCGAGTTGGTGAGGGTATCACTGTGTCAGTTTATCGCCAAATAAAAGCCAACAGTGACTCATGTCGTACTCAAGAGTTTTACAAGTGTGAGGAACCAAGAACCACGGCCACACACTCTCCTGCTGACCCTTCCTTTAGGACAAACTAGTAGATCTGCAATGGGCCACCGAGATGAGACTCTTGGTCAACTAATGAAGTATGTTTAATTTTTAAAGAATTAACACTGGGTAAAAACATGTCACGACAGTGTAAACTTATATTAAAGGGTATCATTAACTGTGCAAAACCACATAAAATGTTTTACTGAATTATTATATTTTCAACTTCTCCGTCCTTACGTAAACGCAGAAATCGCATATGAAACTACACTTCAGTAACTCATTGTATACCATTTGTTGCAGTGTGTGAACGGGCCTTAAGGTAGGTATTTGACACTGATGCTGGTGTTGCACTTAATAGCATCGTTTTTATTAACTTTTTGAACTTTAAATTGATTTAGACACAAAACAATCAGAAACAACGGGAAAATGCCCGACAGATTCAATCGATCACGCCTATCATCGGAAATCCAGGCGTACGTACTGGAAGGATGAATACTGACCCACATAATTTTGGCTATTTGTTGATTATCGATCAGCACTTCATAACATATAGTTGTACATATATTGCATTGAAACCCAAAGCTTCAGTTAGCTGAATTTTCTGTTCGATTATTATGTTGTCTAATCACCATCCTTGACCATCTTCCTAGACTAACATCTAGCCTATTTCACAGGAAAACCTTTGCCGAATTATCTTTAAAAATAAAAGGAAATGGATATCAGACATTTTGTTTATTTTCAGAATCTAAAGACATTTGCAATACTGAAATTACTTGGAATTTAAAAACACGTGTGGATATCAATGGTGTGTGAAAGCGTGTGATGCGGGAATATTTATTGTCCGCTCAAGCTCTCCAACTGACAGTTGTTGGTAGTTTAGGGAGTGTGTAAGTGTCATATCTATTTTGACAGCAAGCTTAGGGACCGCATTTAGTGTGATTTTTATGGTTAGACAACTTGACTTCTCTCTCCAAAACATTTCCAAGTAACTTCACATTTCTCAAAAATAGAAAGGTTGTTTGAATTTTTGTGGCATTTTGATTAAGTAGGATCGAACTGAAGAAAGCATTTTCTTGGAACTACGGCATTTAAAATAGGGACTTAGGGAATGTTCTACACATACTGTGTTAGGAAAATGTCTTGGTGAGGTAACACGCGTGAACAACACTTTAAGCCGACTTGAGTGACATCATTTGAGTTAATCACTGGATTGTCTGGTCCAGATTAGTTTCAGAGCGGCGTCATATAGGTGGAATATTGCTGAGTGCGGCGTTAAACAACAACCAACCAACGAATCCCATGGAAATGAAGTTACAGAAAGCCTTGAACATGTGTCTGAATCAAGGGAGTCAAGGAGAAAGTCAATATTCCCCAATATCTACTAGAGAAAGTAGCAGCTGGAGAAGATGGTTTCCTCGCCGCTGTATGTGTCGTTTATTCTTAAAGCGCAGGAACCTAGACTAGACAAATATATTATAGACTTCCGTGAGCTAGATAGATTTGTTCTGTATATGACACACTATCGTCCTGATTTCTCACATTGATTGTTATCCACTATACTCAGTTGTTGTAATACGTGTGGGTTTTTTATAAATAGTTCTTTGAGTTGTGTCCCCTAGGAGTCCCAAAAGTCTGTGATCGTGGGTTCGAATCCGTGATTAGCCCTGGTTTCTAGGTTTGTCAATTTCAGCAAAGTTGTAAACGCCATGCATCACTTGACGAAACAACGTGATGTCCTTGATAAAGATTATGAAGTGATTTGCATGCACCATATGTGTGGTGTTTGTCCTAGTCCGGACTTTCGCCAGTTTAATATAGACTTGCACAAGTTAATCCAGTTTATCCAAGCTCATCTACTCATAACTTGTAGAGATGAAGACCATAAAGTCGGAACTGAGTTGGACATGCCTGTTAACGAATTTTCCACATATATTTTCATTAACTGACATTCGAGGGTATTTACCACCTGTAAACATTATACTCTTCGCCTAGGACCAGACAGTCCTTTGTTGCTCTGCCAAGTCTTATACTGCTTATTGCCCTTTACCATAGGCAATGCGTTCTTCCTTCCCTCTATTACCTCGATATGCCAGTCAGAGATCGTAGTCCTGAACCCGCTCTGTTAATTCGCATCTTGGGGCATTTTCATATACGGAATCGCAACTGCGTGCATTTGCAGATGCATGAGAATGTCTTGACATTGAAGAGGGTGAGATGGAAGACGAAGCAATAGCAATATCTTAAGTGCGCCGAGGAGCGCAAGCGCTCCAGGGCAGGCAAACTAGTATAACATATCACGCCGCATCTAAATGTCAAGGACTCCACAAGGGAGTTAACTCTGGTCAACACTGGCAGTCCTGGCGGCAACACGGGATGGCTATCAGTATCAACATGTCACCCCTTCCGATCCTTATTTTTAGAACAGTGCTCTATGTTTTGAACGTAATATGTAGCTTTATAATATTTTCAGCACTTGCAGTAAGCATGGTAAGTGTTTTACTGTGTCTGTTCATTTTCTTGGCATGTACTGTAGCCTAGGCCAAGCTGATGACCACATTATAAATATGAGAAGTGTTGTGTAGTCAGCAGAACGGACAACGATGTATAGATGGCAGAGTAAACATTTTGTTATGTCTTCCTTACTGTTGTGGGGCGTTATAAGCTTCATATGACACATTTGTTACTCCTAATACATGATCATTTTTAGGTCGAAACCTAGTTGTGAACCAGCAATGTCTGGTCAAGGGAGGTTACTCTGGCCAACAACCAGTTCCTGCGGGAAAGCGGAATCTGTCATTCCATGATGTCGACCGAAACTGTCATCACAGTACTATGATCATGCATAGCCTTATAATATCATGCCCTCAGCACCATCAGTAAGAAGGGTTTTGTATTCAACAGGTATATTTCTGTTCCTGTCGTGTATTCCACGTGCCATAATGATCGTGATGGCTGAGTACTGACCTCGCTCATTGCAGCCCCTTGATGCTTACGGGATATCATAGGACAAGCAGGGTACCTTCACAATATTCCAGGTCTTAAGGCCATTCTTAACAGTGTGCACAGTTGGGCATCACCATACACATCTGACCCCGCTGAGTCTAATGTCCAAATCTACCGTGATGAATTTATCTTCAGCAACCCATGCTTGTATTTTGATAAGGAGGTCAGGTTTGCAGACTTGGCAGATACATGCGACGTTAAATAGCAAACGAACGAAACAAATTAATACTGTTTAATGATGCGTCACGTATTTTTCACTATACTATTGATAGTGTTCAACATAGTTGTATCCTGTATGTTGTAGATTAAACACGACAACAAATGCTTGCTGTACTCGATAGAGAGCATGTCGCAGGGTTCGAAGTTGTCGTGTAACTACAGCATCATCATCGCAGTGATGTTCTGCCTGCTGTATCCCATCACAATCATCATCATCACCTTCATCAGTGTCCGAAAGAATGGAATGTAAGCTTGTGTAAGGCAGTTGGTAGCTTTAGCTTTTCATGGTGTTATATTAAATTTTCTAGTACTTAGTGTATTATGAAATCATTTATGTGATGCTCACCCATTTGTTATGGGGGCGGTGGGGTGGCCTAGTGGTTAAAGCGTACGCTGGTCACGCCGCCTGATTCCCCACGTGGGTGCAATTTGTGAAGCCAATTTCTGGTTTCCCCGTCTTGGCATTGCTGGAATATTGCTAAAAGCTGCGTAAAACCAAACTCACTCCCATTTGTTATGATAACCAGCAGTCTGTATGTCGAGTATAATTTCATAGGAAATATATATCACGTTTTAAAATAATATGTATGGAGACTGGATATTCTTCATTAAAAATACAACGCTATGAATGTTTTTTATTTTTTAAAAAGAAATGAGCAAAAATACATTTTATGGCAGACAATTTATATATATTTTACAGTTTGAAGCATAATAATATATTTTCAGCACTTTCTTGGGCATATGTAAGACTTGGGTAATTGCTGTTATTGCGTAACAATTACGTCTCACGGGAAAAGGGATGGGCAAGTGTGTCTATTGCGCGAAGTGCTCCAGTCAAAGATGACACAACACAAAAAGACAGTAATAATATATATTGAAATAAAAGTCTTGGTAACAGAGTTGCAAGTTCCGACTGCACAGTCCAGGTGAAACCTAAAAAACAAGCTGGCTTGTTGTCACCTCGACAGTGCAGGCAGAAAGAGGAAGATTTCAGGCTTGGGGGTCCCACGCTCCCTCTTGCCCCTGTCATGTGACAACATAGCCCCTGGGGATTGGCTAAAAAAAACTGTTGCTATGGAACCCATAGCACCAGTGCCTTGAGCCCCAGAACCCTATCAGATAACTGGTAAAGGGCAGGATATTGGGTTACTTGTGCAAAAGACTAGGACAAAATATCCAGCCTTTACACTCTCCCCCCCTTTAAGGAAATTTTGTAACCCGGATTGAAATCGGTAAATACAAATACATGATTAAACAATGCTTGGAGAACCACATACATTTGTACCAGGGCAAACAAACAAAAAAAACCTCCTATCAAGTCTCTTAAACGCGTCTGCGTTTCACGTCCCATGTATCAGGCTCTTCTCCTTCAGAGTCAGAGTTGTCCACTGTGATCCGTAAGGTTGCACCGGTCCGTTGAGCTAGTGTTGCTGGACGATGGTGCTGAGACAATTCCTTACGGCGGTTGATCTCAGTGTCCATTTCTGAGTCTGGTCTTTGGTGATAGAGCCTTGGGTCGGACATCTCTGGTTGTGTGACTGGTTGTCCACACAGCAGTTGAGACAGGCAAATCTCAGTAGCAATGGTTCCGTTCACTGTTGGATGCACTGTGTCTTTCAAGTACCAGCCAGGCGATCTTCCCCCTTTCCTGTTCAAGAAGATCTTGGTCATGTCCAGCACTGAAAACTTGTGCTGCGTAGCAAGGCACATGAGGTCCCAGTTGAACCTCAGACGCAGCTCTTCGATGGTTGATCTCTTGTTCTTGGTCCGTACATGTCGTCGCCAACCCGCTTCATAGACTGTTGTCATGATCAGTGATGACGTTAGGTGCTGAGCAAGGACAATGAGTTTCTGGACATCATGTCTGATGACTTCTGCGCTGGAGCGGTCTCCAAGAATATTGTTGAGGCCAACACACAGGACAAGCTTATCTACTTTTATGCCTTGCACGGCTGCCTTGAACAGGATGGGAATGAGATCTTGGGTTGTCATCCCACCAAAACACCTGATGTCAGCCTTGATTCCTGGGTGGAAATCAGGATCCATCATCCGTAGGACAGAATCTGATACAATGAGTAGTGGTGATGTCTGGGGCAGTTGGACATCTAACCATCCACGCTGTTCTGCTCTTCTTGGACGCACATCAGTTGGGTCCTTGGCAAGGAGTTCTGGATCAAGTCCCACTGCTTTTCCAAGCTCCATCAGGGTTGAGATGTCTTGGTGGGCCGTGGAGACACTCCGCATCCTCTTAGAGGGTCTGACTCGTCCCTCAGACAACAGATCCATTTCCGGGTCTACAAGTGGACCTGAGGTTAATGGTCCTGTGCTTCGGGGTTTGTCTTCCCGAGGTGCTGATGTCTGGCTGGCAATTCTACAGTGACTGGACTAGCAACTAATTGGATACCAGTTGCTGCAGGTAAGCTTTGGGGTGAACGGCTGCTGTCTGGATCACTAGGCCGGTTGAGGGAAGCCATGACATCTGAGAAAAGATCTTCTGTCATTTTGAGGCTTGCCCTGGCCTGGTCTCTTTGCATGCGGAAGAGGTCTCTTTCTCTCCGTACAATCGCAAGTTCTTGAAGGAGAGATGCGTTGGTTTCCATGATGATAGCTGAAAACATATAATGAGAGACACCAGAGCACCAACATCCAGATGACCCATGAGGCATAGCATTAACACATGTAATTAATGAGCAAGTTTAGTAAGTTCCATGATGTAGATAACTAATTCATAAACTTATCGATCGTTCTCTGTTAAGGTTACACATGTTGGACCTGGCTATATTTCTTCCTAAATGGATCCCAGGAAAAGAACCTAGTGCTTCGTCGCTGGCGCTGGGATCTACGAGGAGCTTCCGGCAAGGTCATCATAACAGTCTCCTCACAGGGGTGAGACTGGAGTGGCTCGTCAGCGACAACTGGATCACTTATAGCAGAGTCCACAGAGTTCTCAGATAGGTCTGGCTCACCACCAGATGATTCTACCAGATCACAAGGGGCGATGAGCGATGTATCCTCATTGTCCGGATCTTCAGGCAGCCTATCTTCTCTTTGATGTAGTTCTCCTGAGTCCCCACTCTCCATGGGTTCTGATGGAGCAGCTTCAGCTTCCACTGCAACCGTTTCCCAGGTGAGGGGTCCTGCAGTGGTTGCCTCATTCTGCATACCGGGAACCACTTGGATTGCGGGGACTTCCTCTACAGTAGGTTGTGAGTATGGCAGCGCCTGCTCTTGTGGTTCAAAGGGTTGAGCCTCAGGGTTCAAGCTGCTAGTGGGTACAGCTCTAATAGGTTCAGGCTGTGGGTACCATACATTGACAGTGTGTAGTTCGTCTTCAGAGGATTCCAAGATGTCCTCCGGTTGTTGATTTCGGGTTCTGGATCTGGTAACAGGCCGCCTCTGACATTTGTTTCTTTCTGGTTCATCCATATCTAGGGGCAATGAACCAACAGGAAGTAAGAGGTTGTGATGGTAAGTCTTCGAGGGCCCGTCTCCATTTTCTGGTCGAACGACATAGACAGGCAGTTCACCTTGGTGACGTTCGACAATGAAGACTCCCGACTTCCATCTGTCAGCGATCTTATGTTTTCCTTTGACCCCAATGTTACGGACAAGAACCCGGTCACCTGGTTCCAATGCTGCTGCATGAGCCTTTCGGTCATAGTAGCCCTTGTTGCGAATCGCTGACTTTTGGGCATTCTCCCCTGGCCACTTGGAATGCAAACTTGAGTCGGTTCCGCAGATCTTTGACATACTGTTGAGGTCCTTTTGAAGTCCGGCTGTCAGGATCTGTTCCAAACACCATGTCTATTGGTAGGCGTGCATGACGGCCGAACATGAGGTAGTATGGAGAGTAGCCTGTGGTGTCATGTACAATGCAGTTGTATGCATGGGCTAGAGGTCCAACATATTTTCTCCAGTCTTTCTTTTGGCTGTGGTTGAGAGTGCGAGCATATCCAAGAGGGTACGATTCATCCTTTCGGTTACACCATTGCACCTTGGATTGTATGGTGGCGTTCTTATTTTCTTGATGCCAGCCATATCGCACAACTTCTTGATAACTTTTGATTCAAAGTCCCGTCCTTGATCCGACAGTAGGTGCTGAGGGTAACCACAGTGACAGATGAGGTTTTCCCATAAAGCTTTGGCTACAGTGGTAGCTTTCTGATCCTTTGTTGGAACTGCCATTGCGTACTTTGTGAAGTGATCCGTGATCACCAGTACGTTTTCAAAGCCACCTTTGTCTGGTTCGATGGACAGGTAGTCAATGCAGACTAGTTCAAGTGGGACAGATGGTAAGATGGCCTCCAGTGGTGCAGTTTCTTTCCTGGCTTTCCTCCTGATGCATCTTTCACAGTTTGAACAATAAGTTTGGATGGAGGTAGCCATGAATGGCCAGAAGAATCTCTGGCGGGCAAGGGATAAAGTGCTGTTGCTGCAGGGATGTCCAACTTGATCATGAACTCCATGAATTGCCTCCTTGCGATATTGTTTGGGGATGACCAGCTGTTGTCGTTCTATACCCTTGGCATCAGTGACCACTCTGTAGAGGATTTCATCTTTAATAACAAGCTTCTCCAGTTCTCGCGGGTAGACATGCATGTCGGGATGGAGTTTGGATGTCTTTGCTTTGCATGATCCCTCCTTTGATTGGAGTACTGACATGATTTGACAGATTTCTGAATCCAGGCCTTGCGCTGTTTTCCAATCCACTGACGACATCCCTCGATCATGGACCGTAGGTGGCGTGACCAAACTGTCAGGAACTGCTTTCTTGGAACAGGAAAGAGCTTCCACCAGAACAGGTTCTTCTGTGCTGGACATGACAGCGTTTTGAGAGTATGCCATGCACTTCTTTTCTTGCCTGCTTATTTCTTTGAGATTCTCTTGCTGCCTACCCTCTGAACTGCTGTGAATGCCATGACATTGAAGAATAGCCCGGATTGAGCATGAGGAACACTCCACCACTCCAGATTCTGGAGCATCGAGGGTGTGCTCCGAGCAATCAACCAGTCTATTCTTTCAGTGTCCTGTTTAAACTCTAGATCTTCTTCTTGAGCTTCCTGTGGCAAGCGGCTTAAAGCATCTGCATCAGTCATCTGCACTCCTGGTCGATACTTGATGTTAAAGTTGTAGGCTGCTAGGGCTGCTAACCATCGGTACCCCATGGCATCAACTTTTGCTGACTTCAGGACATATGTAAGGGGATTGTTGTCTGTTACGACTGTGAATTCCGAACCATACAGGTAGTCATGGAACTTGTCAGTAACAGCCCACTTCAATGCTAGAAATTCGCTTGTGTGCTGGATAATTTGCCTCACTTTTAGAAAGACCTCGGCTTGCATAGGCGATGACTTTCAGGCTACCGCATTGTTGTTGGTAAAGGACAGCTCCGAGTCCAGTGCCACTGGCGTCAGTGTGAAGTTCAAAAGGGGCAGATAGGTCAGCATAGCCTAACACAGGAGGAGTGGTTAGTTTTTCCTTGACCTTCTCAAAGGCTGTTTGGCATTCCTCTGTCCACTTATCCCCAAAAGGCGTCTTCAGGGTGAGGTTGTTCTTCCCAGGAGTTCTTCCGAGTTTAAGCATGGTCTTCCTTGGAATGTAGCCGGCTGTCAGTGCATTTAATGGTTTGCAGAGACGACTAAATCCTTCCACAAAGCGACGGTAGTACCCTGCAAACCCAAGGAAGCTTTTCAGTTCACCAATGTTGGTTGGGACAGACCATTCCTTTACAACGTTAATTTTGTTAGGGTCTGGTGATATTCCTTCTTTGGAACACACATGACCAAGGTGGGTCACAGTTGTTTGGAAGAACTTGCATTTCTCAGGGTCCAGCTTGAGGCCAAACTTGCGAAGTCGAGCAAGGGTCTGGAACAGGCGATCTTCATGAGTGGGGATATCTTCAGCGAAGACAATGAGGTCATCCATGTAGACGACCAGCTCCTTAAGATTCATGTCCCCTACACACCGGTCCATCAGGCGTTGAAACGTTAGAGGGCTGTTCACAAGACCCATGCTCATTCTCTTATATTCAAACAGTCCAAATGGGCACACAAAGGCAGTGTACTTTGCTGATTCATCATCCATTGGGACAGCATAGAAGGCCGATTTAACGTCAAGCTGGGTGAACCATGCAGATCCATGTAGTGCTGCGAAGAGATCTTCAACCTTTGGAATAGGATATGAATCCTGAATTGTCCTAGAATTCAACTTCCGGTAGTCCACACATAGTCTTAGCTTTCCTGACTTCTTGCGAATGAGGACTATTGGACTCGCATAGGGACTCGATGAAGGCTGAATGATATCGGCATCTATCGACTGTTGTATGTGGCGGCGACAATCTTCAAAGTCCTGAGGTCGTATTGGGCGAGCTCTCTCCCTCCCTGAACGGTGAGTTGTCTGTCAGTTTAATGGCATGAGTGGCCTGCTCTGTCTTCCCAATGTCATAATCATGAGTAGAAAACACATCTCTCATAGCATGAAGCTTCCCGATAATCCTTTGCCTGTCTTGTTTTGGCAAGGGTGAGTCACCAAAGTCAAAGTTCAGTTCTGGTGATAACTCCCCTGTGGACATCTGGGCAGCATTGCAGTGAACAGGTGGCTTGGCTGCTTCTTCCTTCTTCAGACGGTTATACACCCAGTCAATGGGGGTGACGTCCTGGGGGAGGTACAAGTCAGCCAGTGCTTTCCGAGGGGAGATGGTTATGTCACGAGATGATACATTGTGGACAAATACTCTCATTCTTGGGACACTTCCTGTGACAGACACAACAGCATTCATGACTTGAAGTCTGTCTCCATACAACTGCTGATGGTTAATGCTTTCCTGGATCAGAACTGTTTGTGCAGTAGATGGAATAATGACCTTTCTTGACGTGCGCTGATCTCCATAGTTTGTCCTGCTGGTACAATTATCCTTTTCCTCCGGTTAGTCGCACTGTTCCTAGGCGTCCGGAAGGGTCAGAAACAATGCTGCTGAAGATGTGGGCCACTTCACTCTTTATTGGCAGGGTGCATAAATAGGGCTGATTTCTTCGCTTCTGGCATTTTTCTGCTATCCTCCGGAACGTGTTGGTGCCGACTACAACAGGGATTTCCGAGGAGAAGGAGGTATCTGGGCACACCAAGGCGATGGTATGTACCTCCTCATTTGTACCAGCAACTTCCTTTGGCAGTGACATAGTAAGCCGGACAAAGCCATCATATGGAACAGGTTGACCTCCGGCACCATGTACTTTCAATGGGATGTTCTTTAAACTTTCGACTGGCAAATGGGACAGATGTTTCTTGTAGAAAGACCGGCAAATGGTAGTCACTTGAGAACCACTGTCCAGAAGTCCAGTACAAGGTTTTCGTTCGACCCTAAGTCTTGTTTCACTTTGAAGATCTGATTTGACCTGGGTGTAACACCTAGCCAGCACTTGGTCTGATCCAATAGTCAAAGTTTTGTTTCCACAATTTTGTATTTTGACAATGATGCAGCCAGAATTGTCCACTCCTGTTGAAATGATGTTAAGTTTGGGAGGTACTTGATGGGGCTCAGGTTTTCGAAGCTCAACTTCCTCCAGGTATGGGGAAATATTCTTGCCCCTGAGCTCCATGGTCCTCTCAGGTGGCAACTCGATCTTACAATTCTGGCGCAGACATACAGGTCCAATAAATATTGTGTGGTCATTGTTTGTCTTGGGACGAGTTGGTATCGTCTGGGCCTCTGGTCCCTTTACTGTTTCAGAGGCCCGGTGGAGTTTAAATCACTCTTTTTAGATGAGCGATTATTTCTCTCTTCGTCTCTTGCCTTCATTCGTTCCCAGACCAAAGCTGGATTCGCTGGACTTTGGCATTCCTGTCTCTGATGATTATAGTCTCCACAATTGTGACAAAAGTGCCAGACTCTATTTCTCCTACCGCCCTTGGAACGTGTGTCCTTGGGATTTGAGGTTGGAGCATCTAAAGTCTTCGTGCCAGATGTTATGTGGGACTTAGAGATCATGGATTGCAATGCCTTGAGTTCAACCTTAAGGCTTTCATATTCAGAGGAGCCCAGAGCAGTCGATGCATTCTGGACATGACTCCGAACCTTACTCGCCGTGAACATAGCATCATCCATCTCGACTTCTTTTACAGCATCAATGAGATCAGGGAGGTCTAGAGATGATCCTTTTGGGAACTTTAAATTCAGGAGCCCATAAACACTTTGGTTCCTGTTGGTAGACCGGAACTGATGAAGGCGCGTGCTGTTGGCATCTGCCCGTCTAACACCCCCATGGGCCAAAACCTTCTGTAGCTCAAGCTCCAGGCGGATTAAGTACTCTGATGGTCTCTCTGCAGGCCTGGGTGTCATGGCGAAGAACTCTTTAAGTGTACTCATTCGGTCATTGTATCCTAGATACAGCTTCCCTAAGTAGGTGACGAGGTCCACTGCTGTCTTGTCCTCTCCGATTCCTAAAGCCATATCGAAGGCTGGAGACTGGAGGCTGCCAAGGAGTCTCTGTCGCTTCCCGGTCTCTGAGAGGGCCTGATCTTCCATGACAATCCTCGCTTGTTTGGCCCATTCTTCAAAGGCTACCTCTCCGGCTTTGATGGGTCTTGTACCAGAGAAGGTCTTCAGTCTGAAGTAGCTGGATGAGGGACGATCCCAATTCACCAGCACCTGTTGTGGGTCGGGCGTACAGTGCTACCGCTACCCACAACCCCAGCACCTCGAAGCTGGCAACATTAGAGTCGCTAGCGACTGGGGATTCTGGAGGGCAGCAGCAACCTCGTTAGCCGCCAGAACAGGTGTAGGAGTTGTTGGATTTGATTTTATGGATCCGGCGCTGGTCGTAGCTGATGGAAGCTGTCGTAATAGCAGTTGGAACTGTTCCAGCATCTGCGACTTCATCGCCTCCATCATCAGGGCCGTCTTCCTGTCCAGGGCCTGATCTACTGCCCTGGCCACGACATCTTCTAGAGAGGATCCTTCCCGAACCAAGTTCACTTTCATAACTTGGTACTCCTCCTCTCTGATGAGTACAGTGTCCCCAAGCTTCAGAGGGACTTGAGGGCTCGGGAACTCCACGAGGTGCAGCTGATGAATAGAATCAAGCACCTGGAGAACCCGTACCTTCCCATAGCAAGGGGACAACTCCTCCTCAACCGACTCCGTTTTTGTTTCCTCTGGGAGCCCAATTATTCCAATTGATCGCTTTGGGTCAAATTTCATTGACAACATAGTGTCCAAGAGCTCAGAGTTCGTGAGCGAGGACATGTTGACAACAAATCGGAGATGAGGTACTGAGAAATCTTAGTTGACTAAGGCAACTAAGGGTAGGAGTATAGATACAAAATTATGCCTTATGTGCCAATGAGTGTATATCTTTGACCGTTGAGGAGTATTATGAACGCTTGCGACACTTTGCCCCACGTTGGGCGCCAATGTAAGACTTGGGTAATTGCTGTTATTGCGTAACAATTACGTCTCACGGGAAAAGGGATGGGCAAGTGTGTCTATTGCGCGAAGTGCTCCAGTCAAAGATGACACAACACAAAAAGACAGTAATAATATATATTGAAATAAAAGTCTTGGTAACAGAGTTGCAAGTTCCGACTGCACAGTCCAGGTGAAACCTAAAAAAACAAGCTGGCTTGTTGTCACCTCGACAGTGCAGGCAGAAAGAGGAAGATTTCAGGCTTGGGGGTCCCACGCTCCCTCTTGCCCCTGTCATGTGACAACATAGCCCCTGGGGATTGGCTAAAAAAAACTGTTGCTATGGAACCCATAGCACCAGTGCCTTGAGCCCCAGAACCCTATCAGATAACTGGTAAAGGGCAGGATATTGGGTTACTTGTGCAAAAGACTAGGACAAAATATCCAGCCTTACAATAATTGGGAACGGACAGGGTCTGTGGTATCCAGAATGAGTAACTGGATAATCAAGAATGATTTTAGATGTGATCTGGTGTGCTGCCAGTTTATGGAGAGATTCCATTGCCATTTATATTCCGCAGTGATATAACGAGACCTATAACCCTTAAACGGTTTAAGCGTTTTCTGGAGACCCATTTTGATTTCCGAACTGGTTGCACAGACCTATAGGTGCCCCAGCGCATGGTATCTGTAGCATGTTGCTAACTGTACTCATTCAGTCAATGTATTTTTGCAGAGCACACTTCGCAGGGTTCCCCTCCCGGTTACAGGTCGTCACCGATGGTGTTGCATTTGTCCTAGTCCTGGGGTCTGCCTGCTCCATCAGTATTGGCCTAAAGAAGTTTTGTAACAGCCTCCTGGGTGACTCAGATGAGCTGTGAGTACAAACTTTATTGTCGTTTCAAATATCCTACATGTACACAATGCATTTCATTTTTATATCATCTATACATGGACATATGAGTGAAATACTGTTTAAAGGTGAGTAAAACCAGACTTAATGTCTCCTCTTCAGGTGTTCCGCTGCGTCAATCATTGCAGCTAATATATCAGAAGATAAAGATTTCTACCAGAATCTATCAGCAGCAGAGGTACGTCAAAAACACTTTTTTCACGCCTGTAATAGTATTTACAGACCGCCGCCATATTGCTGGAATATTGCTGAGTGTGGCATTAAACAACTAACAAACATTTCTAACATCAAAGTACAAAATGTGGTCACTCGTTCATGTACAACAAGAAATTTCCAGTGGCTGTCCTCATTAACTTTTGTTGTACATAGTACAAATCTTATACAGAATCTACAGTCTGGTTCCCGGGGTCTGCTGCGCCTGCGCTAACGACCCATTGCGTTAGCGGCGCAGGCGCAGCAGACCCGGGAACCAGGCTCACAGAATCCCTTGCTGTGTGTAGTTGTAAAGTTCACTGTGAAAAACAGCTATTTACAATACAAGATTATGGACAAGACAAAAATTAATATTTGAAATATATCAGGAAAGTTCAAATTAAGCTGTGTATTTATTAAAGTCAAATGCATGATACTTGTGTGTCTTTCTAATGACCAAGAGAGGAGCGTGGACAGCGGTCATCGCGTGGTCGCTCCAGCTGATCGGGGGGCTGCTCGTGCTGTGGAGGAATGGCCGCCTGTGCTGTCGTTCGGATACAACATCGTCACAAGAGGCACTTCGCTCGCCTTCCCAAGAAGTTCCTGAAAGATTCTAGATGACTGCAAGTGTTTGATAGCAGTATCAAGCATCCCATGAACCCGACACCCATTACTCTCTGAAGTACAAGACATGTTGGCCACACATCTTTTGAAAACAGTTTTGGTGTCGAATCTCATCTTTGGTTTACATTTTAAGTTTTTTCTCTACTTCTTTCCGTCCATAAATGGTGGCAGAATCTTTTAGAACAGAGTAAATATTATTCACACAAATAACCTCCCCTTCTAACTAGCAGGATTCGCTGTATATTTAACACCATTGCCAACTCTGTGAGGATTTCCATTATGGTTTTACTAATCCACCATAATTTAAATGGAGAATAAACAACCCATGTTCCTCTTCCCCATTATCTATGATTAAGGAAATGACATTGATAAAGGTAGCCTAGCGGTTAAAGCGATCGCTCGTCATGCTGAAAACCCGGGTTCCATTCCTCACATGGGTACAATCATCCTCGATAATCTCCAGGGTATACGTTACGATCACTCTCAACTATACCCTGGATGCATCCACCGCCGTTGGCCCGATGGATTGGCCGTGGATGCATCCAGCGTATAGTGGAGAGTGATCGTAAAATATACCCTTTACGAGATTATCGAGGATGGGGTACAATGTGTGAAGCACATTTCTGGTGACCCCCGCCGTGATATTGTTCGATATTGCTAAAAGCGGCCTAAAACTCAACTAACTCACCCACATTGATAATGATAAATTAGTTATTGTAATTTTGAACAGGTATAACCACCATCTCTAAATGTGAAGTACTCGAAATCACTTTGGGTATAGAAACAGAGAGCGGAAGTTCCAATCATGATAATTTTTATGCCGATATTTATTTTTTCACTGTTTCGAAGTAGTTTCCAAGTGCGGAAAGAGCACTAGTCACAATTAAGTTTACTTTCTGATGGTTTTCACCTTGTCAGTGTTTAATATATTGGGCCATGCAGTGAGTGGAAAAAATAAACTATATATTTGAAAATTGGATTTTACAAACAAATTAAAAACATCAACACGTTAGGCTGGAAACGGCCGCAGAAGAACTGCAGTGTCAAGGTTAAAAATCCCAACTGTGACACCCGTGTGAAGTACATCCCTATCAAGTAGCGTGGTTTTGTTTGTTTCAGTGTTACTTTGTTTTGCCCGGTAGTGCAAGTAAACAATTTGCCTGTACGAGACAACATCTGGCCCCGATTTCTCGAAACAAGTTTTGACTTAAGTTCAAATTTTTACACAAATTTGAGAAAACGCATTTCCCATTGTTGAACTGAAATCGATATCAAACTCAAACATAGTAGACAATTTGAGTTCGGTGAATAGAATACTTAAGTTGTTTGGGCTTTTTTATTTTAAAAATGCAGCTGAGTTAAAAATTCAGCTGTTTCAAATTGTCAAACTCAGTTCGATATTTGAGTACAAACTTAAGTTTGTTTCGAGAAATCGGGGCCTGGTCAGTTGTGTGTACTGTGTGGACGTATGAATTACTGTTCAGAGCCGTTACATCACTCACGATTGTGCCATGATCCTACTCAATGCCAGCTTCTTCTAGTGATTATACCTTACATCTTGTTCGTGACGCTTATTAAAGGTCATTTTTCTCATTTGTTTAGGCTTGAGTTTGTGTACACAACTGTTACATACTTACTCCTTCCTTGACTTTATATGAGGGTCAAACAGTGGACGTGGTTACCAGTATATTATTACTCCATAGTGTCATGTAAGAGGCGCCTAACGGGATCGGGGGTCGCTGAGTTGGTTGACACTCGTCATCGTATCCCAATTGAGTAGATTGATGCTCATGCTGTTGATCACTGGATTGTCTGGCCCAAACTCGACTATGTACATACTGCCGCCATATAGCTGTAATATTGGTGCCTCCGGCGTAAAACTAAACTCACCCACTCATGACTAAAAAAGGTCAGAGTTTCGTCACCATCTCCGTTTCTTGGCAGAGAATTTATCTCGCTCGTTGGAATCACTTGATTGGCTCTCAGTTTCCAAAATCGAGCTTTTCTAATTTTGCTCCAAAAGATGCTATGACAGCAAATGGAATCAATGTATGTTAGTTTCTGCAGACTACAAAGCATTGATTCGTCCACCCATGCTGGTTGCATGTTGGAGGTGGTGCGGTGAGTTCTGACGTCACCGCCTTCCTAAATGGGGGGAAAGCATCGGTTGACGAATGGGATGACACTATCGGATTGATTACTTTGTTTTGGCTACCAAGCGATGTTGTTATAACGATCGTCCATTTGTGCCGGTGATAAGTAAGTAATGTATATGCAACCTACCTGCACCCTACTATAGTCTGTTTGCAGTGAAAACGTACCGATGAATTTCACGTTAAACCAAAAAGTTAACCAAATAAAGTGAAATTAAGATTAAGAATCTTCATTATATTAGCTTGCCAATTATACATTTAAATCTCAGAATTTTTCTCAATTTCGTTATTATTGGTTTGTATTACAAGGGGGTAAGCGCAGTAGTTGGAACAGTGAAACAAATGCACTTGCGGTACGTGATGAGCGTTAACTTAGATCAACCCTACTTGTTCTCGGTGTTTCATTTAATGTGCATATCCCCTTGTAATACAAACCAATAATAGCGATTTGAAACTATGATCGTTTGTTAAACAACTTTTATTGTAAGTTGAATAAAATTCTGAGATTTATATGTTCAGTTGGCAAGGTAATATGAGGATTTGCAATCTTAATTTCACTTTACATGTATTTGATTTACTTTTATGTATAAAGTGAAATTCATCGGTACGTTTTCACTGCAAACAGACTATATAAGGTGTAATTCCGTGTGCGACGTACACATCATGTCGGAAAGAGCACGTAAAATCTCCAACTCCTCCTCCTCATCGTCATTAGCTGGAATATGAACATGTCCTTGGGGGTAATCTTTTTTAAAAGTCTGAATTCAAAGACACGGAGAATGTTATTGATGTGATTCTGAGAAATTCAGAAATTTTAGCTAGGAAATTTAACATGCAAGTTTCCTTTGTGGTTTCTGTGTAAAGACATGTCAACACTATCACAATACGTTTCATGAGCTTGTGAAAACTATTCACAAAGAGATCGATTATCTTGACAATAACATCCAAAGTAGCTTTCGTACGCTTGTCAATAACATTCACAATAACACTAATCAACAGTCAGTAACATTCGTAATGAGATTTATTAGCTTATTAAAACCATCGCAATACGATTCATAAGTTATTTGTATTCACCAAAACTAGAAAAAAATATATAACTGGCAAGAATAAATGGAGGTGGTTTTGGTTTCCAAGGGTCTCGAGATGACCCTCTGCATTGATACACACATATATCAAGCACACAACAATAATTGTCAACGCTGGTAACGTGCCCTGGAGGGAAAAGGCACGATGATTTTTTCATCAAAGAATAAGTATAATATACTATTGTCCGAGCATTAAATTATTATATACTACTATCTCGTTCTCAGGAACCGGAATAATTCGTCCGCTCTCCTTGCAGACTCTGTCAAACTACACCACGGAGGCGGTCAGAATGGGTCTTAGTAACCTATGCTTGTCATAAAAAGCTACTAACGGGATCGGGTGGTCATTATTTAGACCGCCGCCGTATAGCTGGAATATTGCTGATTTCGGCGTTACACAACAACAACAAAACAATCAATCGAATAACTTCCTGTGTATTATATTCATTTGAAACTCGTCTGACGTGGAAAGCGTAGGTCCTCAAGAGTAGTGTAGTAGTGAGTGAGTGGGCTTTACGCCGCACTCAGCAGTATTCCAGCTATATGGCGGCGGTCTGCAAATAATCGAGTCTGGACCAGACAATCCAGTGATCAACAGCATGAGCATCTCTACGCAGTTGGGATACGATGACATTTGTCAACCAAGTCAGCGAGCCTGACCACCCGATCCCGTTAGTCTCCTCTTACGCGACAAACATGGGCTACTGAAGATCAATTCTAACCCCGATCTTCACGGATAGTGTAGTAGTAAAGAGTGTTTACCGGTAGCTGTAATGTCCACGTTTTAACAGTTTACAAAACAAATCACAATTTTACTAATTTTCGAGGTCGGTGGGGTGGCCTAGTGGTTAAAGTGTTTGCCGAAGGCCCGGGTTCGATATCGTCATAGCCTTTTCTAAATAAAATCATTTAAACGAGTTCACAGATTTAAAATGTCCCTGTCGAGATATTGCTGGAATCTTGCTAAAAGCGGCATAAAACTGCACTAACTCACTCTGACAGTCTGTGTCTCTGGGGCGCAAAGTAGCAAGCATATCTTCAAGTTAAATACGGCGGTGGGGCAGTCTAGTGGGTAAAGCGTTGGCTCGTCACGCCGAAGACCCGGGTTCGACTCCCCACAATGTGTGAAGCCCATTTCTGGTGTCCCCCGCCGTGATGTTGCTGGAATATTGCTGAAAGCGGCGTAAAACCAAACTCATTCACTCACTCAAGTTAAAGACAAATGAAATTAAATTACGAACACACTTAACATGTCCTCTCACTAAGCTGTTTATCTGACTGAACAAGTGGCTGGCAATACGAAGACAAAGGCCGTGTCAAGATTGTCTAAACCGGCCTATGATCCCATCTACAACTTACCCTCCATTTTCCTGTGTAAAGACGGTGCGAAGGGAGGTGACTCTTGGCAAGACTACCATTACTTGGGACAACACGGATTCTGCTCTGCGATGGCTTTCGTGATGTCGGCTCGTTTGATCCTCATTGTCAGGACAGCATTATATGCTGCCATCATAATATGTAGTCTTGTAATATTTTCAGCACTAGCAGTGAGCATGGTAAGTATAAATACGTGCATTCCTTCATTGAATGTGTCCCAGTTGCCGCCACTTGACATGCATGGGCGAGCGTTGTGTGGCAGGCCACTTCTTATGCTGGATAGCGGAGTATCAATATTTTCTGTTCGGCTCACGGCTGTGTTTCGCTATGTGTCGTCGTATCAATAATGACAGCGTACGCACAAAAGGCAAGGCTTTATGACAAGATAAGGCTTGTATATATTCATGTGACATTCATAATCGATATTTGTCACATCGCAATCCAGTTCTGCCAGTAGTATGTCTTGATCATTAATAATTTACAACGGGGTTGGGATTGGATGCTTGTAAATGCGACTCCAAAGATGACATTACATACCCGTAGTTTGGATGCTGTTACAAGCAGCCATTCATCTGATTGTACATCAAACTACGAGTAAATACCACAACGGCATCGAGAGAAGACATGCCGACCCATATTGATGAACACGACATTTATTTTTGTAATGATTAGAACAACCTACTTCAAGGCTTCAAATACTTTAGTAGCGTATTATTGTTTTGTTTTCTGACAATGTTCAAAATTTCTCTGTCCTGCTTGTTGCAACAGTTCTAGCAAGGCTGACTATAGTCTATTTGCAGTGAAAACGTACCGATGAATTTCACTCTAAACAAAAATGTAAATCGAATAAAGTGAAATTAAGATTGCGAATTCTCATAATTTTACCTTGCCAATTGAACATTCAAATCTCAGAATTTTATTCAACTTAGGATAAAAGTTGTTTAACAAACGATCATAGTTTCAAATCGCTATTATTGGTTTGTATTACAAGGGGGTATGCACTTTAAATGAAACACCGAGAACAAGTAGGGTTGGTCTAAGTTAACGCTGATCACGTACCGCACGTGCATTTGTTTCACTGTTCCATCTGCTGCGCTTACCCCCTTGTAATACAAACCAATGATAGCGATTTGAATCTATGATCGTTTGTTAAACAACTTTTATCCTAAGTTGAATAAAATTCTGTGATTTGAATGTTCAATTGGCAAGGTAAAATTATGAGGATTCGCAATCTTAATTTCACCTAATTTGATTTACCTTTTTGTTTAAAGTGAAATTCATCGGTACGTTTTCACTGCAAACAGACTATAGTAACCGTTCTAGTTTCTAGTCTCGGACTGGACCAGTCTTGACTTACAAAATATCTGCTTAGATGCAAGCTTTCCTTTAATTTTCAAGTAGGTCAAGCAGGCATTTAATAAAGTTCCGACATAATATGGCTGCTACACATGTAGACACAATAGTTACTTTATCTCTCATATTGTCTTTCATGACAGTGCTGTAGAGGTAGGAACATTCCAGCTTATAGGGTCACCCTATGATAGTTTGTAAATTCGCCGCACCCACTAACCTATAGCGCTATAAATCTCTGTTCCTGCTTTTAGGACTGACTGAATGACACTTGTGGTATTGTGGCGGACTGAAGTGGCTAGCCTAACTTTAAGGCTGTAATAAATTATCATTCTCTGCATGTTACGTAATTCTAACCTTGTAAAATACGTGTCTGAATAAGACGACAATACAGTCGAAGGACGCCAGGCATTTACAGGGACAACGTGATCTTATCATAGATATATAATTTTAAGATTATATAAAAAAAAGTCTAAGGGTTTGATTTTTAGCTTCATTTTTTTTATTAATTTCAGGGGTGGAAATAACCCATTGCCCGACGTCCGAGTCCAGTGTTTTTTTTCTGTCGGGCAAGCAATTTTGTATATCACGCTGTACCGGTGTCCAGTTGACTTTCCAATATTAATAATGTTGTTTATTTAAAAAATCAACAAGAAAAAGGCCGGTATAGTGGAAAAATTATCAGGGCAAGTGATTTTACATGTGTCACTGTACCGGAGTACACTAGCAATTTTAAAGTTATTTCCACCCCTGTTAATGATTATTTTTATGAATTCCCAGAATTGATAATGAAGCTAAAACTCAAATCTTTAGACGCTTTTTATATAATCTAATAATTATAATTTAAACTGATCTTCCTTAATGACGTTTAATATGATATTTGAATTATCGTGCAAACCATTACACTTTTTGCTTTAAGCCTTTATATGTAGGAATGATTTTTAAAACTAATAATCATTTCCCATATATTATTTCATATAATCTAGGAATTATTACTAGTATTTAACCTAATCGTCCTTTTATTGTTGATATGTGAAAGTGGCATGCTCTGTTTTTTGTGGCTAGATCAGTATTTCATGTTTATATGTATATAATATACAACTATAAACTATTAGACATACAATAACCACATAACAGGTCTTTCGTGTGACACATTGCGTCATGCTCTTTTGAACAAAAAAAATCAATTACCAATTTAGATTATTGGAAGTGAGTGGGTGGGTGGGTGAGTGAGTTTAGTTTTACGCCGCACAATATTCCAGCGTAGTAGTGAAAGCTCGTCTCGCTGAAGACCCGGGATTGATTCCCCACATGGGCACAATGTGTGTCCCCAGTTCTTGTGCCCCCTGCCGTGATATTGCTGAAATATGTCTAAAGCGGCGTAATACATAACTCCAGTTATTTGATGTACATGGCAGAGGTAGAGATAACCTGCATATCTGCGTAAATTACGCAAATATGTATGTGAAAACTCAATTCCTACTAAGTCTATTGCGTACAAGTACGCTTCAATTTTTGTAAATACTCAATAGATTTGATATTGCACGCGTACAAACCAAAACAGATAACATATCTGAGTATTAAGAGTTTCCATTTCAGCACCTGGACTTGGCAACTTGCAGTCTTTCTGATCGTTTCTCATATAACAGATCAAACATAAATAACAAACACGTAAACCAACATTTAAACTTAAATATATTTTTACAATTAATGGAATATGGCAAAATACCCAACTGAGTTTGATTGAGGTGGGTACAATTTATTTGGTTACTCAAAGGAACATTAGGATACCCAATTAAGATGAACACAAGCGAGTACATAACTCAGTGACCCCAAATATTATCTGTAGCTCTGCATTGGATCACGGGAACTGAAATATGCCTCGTATTAAGAAGACCGGAATGCATTCAACTTGTGACGTGTGGAATGAATTCTGTATAGAATTAATCCCTTTTAAAAGTAGGGTAATAAATTAGCAACTGAGATTGTTAGTGGCCGTATGCTTGACGTTGATGAAGTAGTGTTATATAAATGTCCCTCAGAGTAGGTGCGTCACATTCTTCACAGTAGGTAAACTTTATATCTACAACAGTTTTGATAGTAGAATCTTTTTTTATTATTATATTTGTTTGCTTACCTTACAAACAATCGCCAGCAGCTGAAAGAATGGTGCATATCTAGGGATACCATGCGGGTATCAAAGGTACCGTAAGTTCTCATGGTACCAAGCATGGTAGTCAAACGTTGGTTGCTAGTGACATGCAGCCCATTTTTATTAAGGTTTGCTATGTAGAGCGAGAGACGACGGGGTAGCCAAGTGGTTAAAGCACTCGCTGGTCACGCCGTAGTCTGTCGTACAGACCCTGAAGCAAATATATCCAACAAAGCCCACACAAGTCTAGAAAATGAAGAAAGTCTCAGGGCTCCTTTTCATTATATTTTATATTTTTTTACTATGAACTTTTTTCAGTAAAATATGTTCATTTCAGAGACTAATTGTTTGTCTAGTCACGCCTAAGACATATATAGAATGTGTGAAGCCCATTTCTGGTGTCCCAAGCCGTGATATAGCTGGAATATGGCTAAAGGCGGCGTAAAACCATAATCTCTCACTCCTTACTGTACACACCTGTGTTTGACCACCTTGGCCATCTTATAAAAGCCAACTGTACATGAGAGTCTGTGTAGAGCGATATTCTTTTATGGTAATTTGGTTTAATTCTAAATCTGTAATGCGTCTAGCTATTGTAGCCTCCTCTATACGCATTATTTAGTTAGTAAAACTGTATTTCTTAAACCTAATTTTTTTTAAAGTTACGATGTGGTTGAAACACTGCCGATGTGACTTCACACACACACACACACACACACACACACACACCACACACCACACAATCAAGTGGTGTTTTCAGAACGAACATGATCACTATCAAGTTGTTGGTGTGTGTTCTTCCTTATCGTGTTTCATGTGACCTTGGTGGAGTTGGCCTAGGCAAGATCGCCTCACGGAAACTGCGTTTGATTGAAAGGTCGATTTATTATGCGTTCATTCTTGAGTGACCTCACGTTCAACTTGAAGCTAGTGTTGACACATACACTCAAGTTACACACAATGTAACGGAAGTTGACCAAGATCGAGCTGTCGGTGCAACACAGCGATAGAGCTACTTCCGAAAAGAACTCCTAGATTTCGTTGCGGCTGTTACCACTACCATTCTCTGATTATAACTTGGGGCGGTGGGGTAGCCTAGTGGTTAAAGCGTTCGCTCGTCACGCCGAAGACCCGGGTTCGATTCTCCACATGGGTACAATGTGTGAAGCCCATTTCTGGTGTCCCGCCGTGATATAGCTGGAATATGGTTAAAAGCGGCGTAAAACTGAACTCACTCACTCACTCACTCTGATTATAACTTAAAGTATATAGTCGGCGGAGTGAGTGAGTGAGTGTGGTTTTACGCCGCTTTTAGCAATATTCCAGCAATATCACGGCGGGACACCAGAAATGGGCTTCACACATACTAGCCAAGGGGGGAATCGAACCCGGGTCTTCGGCTTGACGAGCGAACGTTTTAACCAGTAGGCTACCCCACCGCCCCAAACAGTCGGCGGAACATGAGTGCAGAACAAGTATGCAAAAGTTAGTAATTTAGACCAAGATGACAATGTATCATTTCAGTTGGCCTAAATAATCATTTTCTTTTTGACTGGATTTCTTCTATTTCAACGGTATTTTGCAAGGCTTAGGCCGTTTGCGATTTTTAGAAGTGATTATCTCAGATTAAGAATGAGCGACCTCAATGCATAATCTTTGATAACGTCCAGAGGCCTCGTAGGGAATCTATGAACACTTGTTCTAAGATTTGTCGTTTTGTTGATTGTTGTCTAACGTCACACTCAGCAGTATATATCACAGCTATATGGCGGCGGTCCGTAAATAAATTAGTCTGGACCAGGCAACCCAGTGATCAACAGCATGAGCAATTGGGATACGATTACAAGTGTCAACCAGGTCACCAAGCCTGTGAGTCGCTTCTTACGACAAGCATAGGTTACTTCAGACCACTTATAGCCCGGAACTTCACTGGTTTGATGCGTATGAATACTATAAGGGATAAAGCTGATGGGGTGTACCGAGGATCACATGATTTGATAGTTGTTCATATATTTATCCCAATAACTTACTTCTTCTATGCTTGATTAAAAACCTAACGCAACAAAGCAAGGAACATTTTGCCCCAGCTGAACTATGCCGAACATTATCATTATAAACGAGGTCTACTTGATGTATGTGATAAGCCCTATTTATAAAGAAAGCTTGGCCTAACGCCAAACACCAGTTGTGTGGGACTGCTTGTACCGGGACTATAGTCTGTCAACCCAACTTTTGGGACACCCCTATTGTGAAATATCTTCCAAATAACACCAACTGACCACATGCTATTAACGTATATCTTAATGATTCCCTTTAACGTAATAAGTTTTAGTTTGTTGGTCACTTGGGGAAAAAGTTACTTAAGTAACTATCATTAAAGTTTCTATTTGTTTTGGTGTCAAGAGACGGGGTGTAGTCGAGTAAACGTAACAGCTTACGGGTTAGGTCAGCGCGCAATTCACGTGGATGACCTCGGGTCACAGTAGCGTGGGTTTCAGGTTGACATGTATATATATCAAAAGGGGTGTCCCAAAAGTTGGGTTGACAGACTATAATGTCGGATTTATATACTAACGGAAAAAGGTAATTGTGCATAACATAAAATTGCACAAAATAAAAGCTATTTACAAATAACCCTAATAAACATGCAGTAAAGCACGCTGCATGAAATTTGATGTCATTTATCGCGCGTGGCACGTGTACTTTGTGCACAATGAACTTACTCACTCTTTGCATGCTTTTTGACACCCGAAGTTCATAACCTGATATTGAAAAATTGAAGAACGGTCAAGTCAAAACATTGATTACACAACAGTCGTTTCCTGCTGACTCGGTTCCGTCCTATTGCGCAACTTAGTACAATAAACAGTCCAGAATTTTGAGACCAACTCATTCAACTGGATATATAAATATTAAACAGTATTATTTGATACATCTAATCACTCGTATATTGCAACACTACGCTCTTTCTAATCCTTGCAAACACGTTGTGCAGCGTGCTTTGTCGTACAGCGTGCTCTGACAAACTGAAATCGTGGAAATCTCAAAACGATGCTCGGCCGCTAGTAAAGTTTGGCGGTCTGGTACGCACTTGATATTATATATCAATCACATTATACATTACAAAAATACACTTAATAAGCGCAAAGAACACATAACAGCTGTTGTAACCAGTGAGCCAGGTGAATTGTGAATCATTGTACGACCTCTTCAAACAGTGGCAGCCTGTGACGTCTTAGTTAACGACATGCTGCCTGAACCTCGACATAAAATATAGAAATACGACGATTTTTAAACTTTAAACTTAAAATTAATTAATTTGTAAGTACCATTTTCTTATGAAACAAAGAATTAGATTTAGTGTAACCATAGTTGTTTGTAGTTTCTCTTTCCCTTTCCCTTTCCCTTTCACACGAGAAAATTCGAATCGGCTGGAAAGTAGGTCATTGTCTGAATTGGTTAATGAGACTCATGTTTCGGTTTGGATTGTTGTCCAACCTCTGAATGTTGTGGAAAAGACGTTAATTCCAACCTATATGTCACGGCTTACAAAAAATCAGCGTCTCCGCGCTGTGGGTATGCTGCAGACATACATTTTGGTGTCAATGGAAACACGATTTCATCCGCTATGGAGACGTTTTCAACATAATGGGAGAGATTTGCCTCGGACTGGCCGTCCACGCGTGACGTCACGTCAGCAAGACAACCACATTCGACTGACCCATCTAAGGAATCGATTCCAGACTGCCAGTTTGACTGCTCGTACCATTTCTGGTTTACGTCCAATCAGTTCTGGGGCCCTATTTCGCAAACCTAACAGGATCGGGTGGTCGCGCTAGCTGTCTTGGCTGACACATGTCATTGTATCCTAATTGCGTAGAACGATGCTCACGCTGTTGATCACTGGATTGTCTGGCCCAGACCGCAGTCATAGAGCTGGAATACTGCTGAGTGCGGCGTAAAACAAACAAACACGACTAAAAGTATAAAAATGATACTCACCATGATTCATTTAATGGAAAATGCTATAATTTGACCAACTCATATTATTCAAACCTATATTTGCACCCCATGAAACTGTTTATCGGTTGCTCTCAATCTTACAGCTTAACATGGGCGTGGCCATTTTGAACGCTAGTGCGCATAACAGGAAATCCTGTTTCGGACGATAACATTTTGTGGGTTAGTTTATGGGTGCAGGACAAATGAAGCTGAAAATGTCTTGCAGGAAATCCAGCTCTCAAGTTTACAGGTTTACATGATGTTTACTGATTTATTAAACAATAATTTTATACGGCATAATTGTTGTGTGTGCGCGCGTGCGCTTTCCATGTCACATAAACACAATCCCAATATTCCGAACCCTCAGAATTCTTATCCTAATTTTTTTAGATCTTTTTTATTTATTAAAATAACACTTTAAATGCTGATAAAAGTGGTTAAGGGAAAGTATATGCAAAGACATAAAGCGTTATACAGCCCAACTGGATGGTGATAGTTGATCTTGTATAGACAAATCGTCGCCAGAAAACAAGAGTGTTCTATGTCCATGTTTGGGGAAAATGGAGTTAGGAAGCTCAGTGTATGTTTAACTGCATATTCTATATCCATGCAAAGTTTCACCGTGATAAATAACCTTGAAAGTGGTTTTACATTTTTTATCGTTGAAGCACTCGGACGCAAGCAACCGACTATTTTACCTGGTCAGGGGCTTCTTTAGTCTGTCTCACAGTCCCTGAACCATATTATTTTCCCCAATGCCTAGCCCTCCCTGCAATGCTAAATCCCTAAATGAAGCAAGTCTAGATTTCCTCAGGTCCTGAATCTCTGGTCTCACTGGGGCACCTTTTCAATTAAAATGGGTTTATTTGCTACTATCACAATTATATGTATTCAGGGACTAAACGTTAGTCTAGGGCTCCTTTCGCGAAGCAACCTTTAATTACTAAGCTTAACCTTAACTCCCATTCTTTGACATTGTACTAAGGTTACTACCTTATGACTTACGATCACCTTAGTGCTTCGTGAATGGAGGTTCCTGGCGTACAAATCTCATGACGTAATCTGCTTGATATGACGTTACTCGTTTGTTCAGTATTTGCTGTTATCTGTTATAGAATAAACATGAAAACAACTGTTTGCTGTACGCCGAGGTAAAGAAATCGTACGGGTCGGCGTCGACATGCAACTACAGCATCGCCATCGCCGTCATATTCTGCTTGCTGTGTCCCATCGCCGTCGTCGTGCTGACCGTCCTCACCTTCATCGGCATTTTAAAGGATAAACTGTAAGTGCTTACGCCTGTCGTTGGAATCAGACTCACAAGGAAACAATGGCAGTGCATAGGTCCAGTGAGTGAGTTCAGTTTTACCCCGCGTTTAGCAATATTCTATCAATATCACAGCGACGGACATCAGAAATGGGCTTTACACATTGTGAGTGAGTGAGTGTGGTTTTACGCCGCTTTTAGCAATATTCCAGCAATATCACACCAGAAATGGGCTTCACACATTATAGCCATGTGGGGAATCGAACCCTGGTCTTCGGCGTGAGGGGCGGTGGGAGTAGCCTAAGTGGTTAAAGCGTTGGCTGTCACGCCGAAGACCCGGGTTCGATTCCCCACATGGGCACAATGTGTTAAGCCCATATCTGGTGTCCCCCGCCGTGATATTGCTGGAATATTGCTAAAAGCGGCGTAAAACTAAACTCAGTCAGTCAGTCAGTCAGTCAGTCTTCGGCGTGATGAGCCAACGCTTTAACCACTAGGATACCCCAGCGCCCCTTTTACGCATTGTACCCATGTGGGGAATCGAACCGAGTCTTCGGTGTGACGAGCGAACGCTTTAACCACTGAACTAACTAACCCACCGCTCAATAGGTCCAGGGTAGACGTAGTTAGGAGATATAACAGACTCGTGAATAGGCAACTGCATCATGCAACTATTGCGTCCACCGTGCAGGGTATAGATTAAATTATGCTAACTGCTTTCAGTCTCTTTATCAGTGTCTTTGCTCGCTAGTTTTATTCATATCTGTGATTCTTTAGTATTTTTACTGTCCATCGTCAACAGGTTATAATCTTCAAAACGTTTTCACTTTATATTGTATAAATTGTTTTCGTCACGATATGGCTGAGATATTGCCGATGTGACGTTAAATATTAACTCACTCCTCTCTTATCAGTGTATGATAATCGTCTTTGCAGAATACAGTTCGCAGAGTTACCGTTCCTGATCCAGGTCATCGCAGACGGTGTTGCATTTTTCTTTGTCCTAATATCTGCCTGCACCATCAGTGTTGGCTTCAAAACGTTGTGCGACAGCCTCGTTGGCGGAACAAATGTACCGTGAGTACATCCTATCTTCTCTAATTTAACACAATACACAGTAGACAGTACACAATGGTACCGGACTGTCTTCGCTGCTCTGACGGCTGACTGACTTAACCATCATGTCATGCACCTTCAGTGCCTGACTGACTGACTATTGTGTCCTGCCTCTCTGTTGACTGACTATACCATTGTGTCCTGCCTCTCTGTTGACTGACTATACCATTGTGTCCTGCCTCTCTGTTGACTGACTATACCATTGTGTCATGCCTGCCCATTGACTGACTATACCATTGCTTCCTGCCTCTCTGTTGACTGACTATACCATTGTGTCCTGCCTCTCTGTTGACTGATGCTTTACCATTGTGTCATTCATCTCCATTGGCTGACTGTACCATTGTGTCATGCCTGCCCATTGACTGACTATACCATCGTGTCATTCATCTCCATTGGCTGACTATACCATCGTGTGCTGCCTTGGCTCTCCACTGGCTGACTATGCCATCGTGTTCTGCTTCTCCATTGACTGACTGACCATACCATAATGATTATAAACATCACTCACTCTTTTGCACAGGTGCTCGAAGGCAGCAGTGATACCGATTCATGACAAATCAAAACAGGACTTTTTCTATGAGAACCTATCTGCAGCAGAGGTAAGTGTGAATACTTGTCATATTAATTAATGCCATCTTATGGCGTACTATGCATGTAGTTTCACTCCAGCAGTAGTGAACTAGTTCATAGATTGATAAAATATCAATACCCGTTGGTTCACTAATAGTTTTACAGAATCCCTTGTAGGTGAGGTGAGGTGAGGTGAGGTGAAATTGGGTTTAACGTCATGCTTGAGAATATTTCGCTCATATGACGACGTGCATGCGTGTGTATGTGGGTGTGCGGCTGCTCGTACTAGCCCAGACTGAAGCTGGTTTTATAGTGCTAGCCCACTGAGATACCATGCTGCAGTGAAGCATGAATAGGGAGACCGGGGTCAATTGTAACACTTTTACTTAACTTCTTGTAGTTCGATCCTAGACGACCGATCACAAAGTTAATCGGTACTAACTAGTACATTGGCTTCTTGGCTTTAAACCTCAGTGTCGTTTCAAGTTCACTATCATGTCTTTACAAAGTTATTACGTATCAAATGCAATGACTGCAAGTGTTACAATTGACCCTAGCACGGGGCAATTGTAGCAGGTGGATGGGGCAATTGTAATAAAGAAGGTTCAAATGTAACAATTTGTTTATTTTCCAAATAAAATCAAAATAAAATGTGGAAAGATGTTATCTTGATCTGTTGAGGTGGAAATGGATTAACAATAAACCTGTATCACCACCGACATTTAAAATGTTTTTCGTTTAAAATTCTTGTATTGGTATGCCCCCAAAATTATACAAAGACTTAGACCAAAAACTTTCACCCGAGGCTAAAACTAACAACATAAAACTGAAAATGTTCTACTATGATAAAACCAAGTAAAGAACTAACATAAAACCTTCATCATAATTTGCTTTATTATCGTAAAACAAGGGAAGAAAATTACATGGGGGCAATTGTAACACAGTGTTACAATTGCCCCCTGATGGCAGTAGCCATGTTTCATGCCACGTCACACGTTAACAACTTTGGGCTTCTCAAATATTTCTACTTCCAAATATGTCGTAATATCTAAATTTTACACTTGAAAAGTTAATTTCATACCAAACACCATTTACTGCATTAAGAACGGTTTAGTACGTTTTGTGAAAATTGCTTACCTATGTGAAAAACGATTTTCGTCAACTGTATCTCGCCATAAGCGAGCGGATGAAAAACGCCTGGATGAGTACCGCAGCAAAGTAAAGGGAAATAACTCTACTCACCTACACTATGCTTGGGCGAAAACTTTTAGAGTAATCGCCCTTGTTACAATTGACCCGTGTTACAATTGACCCCGGTCTCCCTACCTTACTCAGACACATTATACTGACTCCGAGGCCGACCAGTCCTTATTTGTACCCATTAATGCGGAGCGCAAGGCAGGGAGGACCAACAAGTACCATATATTTTAACGTCTCTCCGGGCGGACGCTCTTACAACTACATTCACGGAGGCCGGTCCCCTTGTAGACCTAATAGAAATATCGGTGCGTTATGTGGGGCGTTTCTGTTCGCATTTCTTTACACCCACACTAACCCCACTGTACGCAATGCGTTTGGATCCATCTCGTGGCATTCGTAACTATTCGTCATCATTTCGAGCAGAAGCCGGATGGAGTGACTCGTACCCATCCCACAACGCAAACGGGCACGGTGATGAGAATACTCTTAGAGCACGCTTTCCAAGAAGAGATAAGTCTGAATTTCTGAAAGTGGTTACTCCACATTCAGTCGGCAAAACCACTATACAGTCATACCCTTCGTCAAGATGTTTCAGAGTTGAAAGTTGCTGATCCTTGGCTTTAGCTCAAAGTTTATGATTAAATTGTGCTTTGCATTGTGTGATGCCGCCATTTTCATGCTTCGAAATGCGTTTTACTACGCGCGATTTGATTGGTTTGCCATAATTCTTGGCGATAGAGTCTTCTTGTAGGTTACGGAAAGAGGCGAGTAGTTACGAATGCCTATGAGAGCAAATAGACTCATACGCCCTTAAACTATATCACCAGCACCAAACCAAAGCCAGTTTTAGTGTATATGCATGAAACCATCTTTTGATGGCTTTCTCTAGCGTCAGTCAGTTTTTGAACATTGACTTTCTAGCAAACTCGATCATAATCAATGGCCGACCCGTCATTAAGGCTGGTTTTGTACCTCAATGAGTCGAAGCAGACAGAAATGACGTAGCCCAATACCGATACTGGAAAAAAAAATCTTTTTGTTCGAAATGCCACATTTAGGAAACTCCACGCAGTCCAAAAATTACTTTGACTTCAGTTTATTGAGAAACGGGGCATGCAGCATTATCCCATCTTTGAGACGGATCCGTGAAGATTCATGCCTTGACCAGACCACCGGGTGTTTGACATATCCTACCAATAGGTTTACCTTAGTGACTGTGTCTCAACGCAAACACTTTTCTCGGTAATATTAAATAAACATTTGTTGAAAAGAGAATCTACACGGAACTCGAAATTAAGGATTTCTCGTAACTCGTTTGTTTAGAGAGTATTCCTAAGGATTAAGAATCGAGTTAATGGTAAAGCATGCTTATATCTGTTACAACATTTAAGGCGAAAGGCACATGCATTTTATATGAACGCAGTACAGTTGCATGTTAATTTTGTAACTACCCAGGGAGGAGCTTGGACAGCGGTCATCCTGTGGTTGGTCCAGGTAATCGGGGGACTGTTCGTGTTGTGGAGGAATGGCCGACTGCCGTGCTTACCACCCTCTAAGGATCACCCCTCAACACCACCCCAGCAAGTCCCTGCCACATTCTAGACGATCACTGGGACAAGTTGAGTCAACTGTCCTGCTGTGGTTCATGTTTCATTACACACCCCTTATTAGGTCTGGGTAGCGCAGTGGGCAGTTCCTCAACTCATCTCACAGAAAGTCTGTGGTCGAATCTCCACATCATTTCCAATGTGAATCTAATCATGACATATGTGCCTAGGCAACGTCTCATATAAAGGAGTAAGCCTAATTAACATACAGGCTGACTGCTCTCTTAGAGGAATTCTACATATACTACCCATCAAAAGTTTAGACTCACCTGGAGCACTCACTATATGTTATGTATATATATATGGTTACATCAAAGATGGATCTCTCCACTAACTTGGGGGAACCAACTGCAAACTTTATGCAGATGAATTGTACGAGGATCATGCATCCAATTGCTAAAAAGCATGTGCACATATCGTTTGGTGTAAAGTTTTGTTAAGAATTCGCCAATTTTCACAGATTTTCATCATTTACTGAACTCATGACAATAATCTTTTCAACTTTACGAATCTGTTTTACAATACATGTAGTTCATATGTAAAGAGTACCTTTAAACTGAATGGAATATTTTGAAAGTTTAGAACAGTTGACTGAAGTAAGTGGCTACATTTACACTAGTGAGTCTAAACTTTTCATGGGTAGTATATTTGTCAAAATATAATTAATCTATTAATTTCGGCCTCAAATTTGATGTAAAGTTATAAAGCTTATGTTTGTGTTTGTTTCAAGGAGTGAAAGGATGTTATACTTTGCTAATTGTAATGTTGTTTTATAGTATTATTTGATTTGGGTAAGTTAGCATTGCACAACTACAATCGTGAAGAGGCATTAGCCTGAGCCAAGCTCCTTGTCGCTGATTGGCTTGAACCAATGTTTCTTTGTTGTCAAATGGGTGTATTGAGTGTGGAGTGCACAGCCTTCACTTTCAAACTTAACATTGGTGGTTAAAGTTTTCTCTCGTCACGCCGAAGACACAGGTTCGATTCCCCACATGGTTACATTGTGTGAAGCACATTTCTGGTATCCCCACCAATATATTGCTGTAATATTGCTAAGAGCGGCGTAAAACCTCACTCACTCATTTATTCAAACTGAATATCCATGCCGTTGTGCCTCAGATGTATCTATATCACAGAAAAATCAACATCAGTCATTTTGTGCAAGATTTCTATGTGGATATGTTTTTGTTTATCGTACCTTTCATGTAAAATGCATGAGTTTAATTGCTCAATGATATTTCATAAATTTCCACACGCCCCGCTATAACTGGGGTCACAGCTGGGGAAAATATATATCCGGCGCAGACATTTTGCCGAGCTGGCAAGCTCCTTACAGCGTAGCGACGTCCCGTAATGTGTCTGTGGATGAAAGTGATGCACAGAACGTCGAGTTTAGATAAGTGGTATCAAAATACACACAGAAGAGATACTATCATCCAAAATAAACGTTTTCAGTAAGCAAACTGTAATAACTGTTCTCTGGTGCAAAAGGAATTGTCAGAGAGATTACTGCTGTCAAATGATTATGACGTCATGGTAATAATATCGTGACATTGCTTTGCAAAGCAGTGTTGCAATTGTATACATTGTAGCGATATCTCCTACGTATATTACTCTAGAATAGTATAACATGGGAATAACAGTTGGGTTTGTTTGTTTGTTATTTGTTGTTTAACACCGCACTCAGCAATATTCCAGTTATATGACGGCGGTCTGTAAATAATCGAGTCTGGACCAGACAATCCAGTGGTCAACAGCATGAGCATCGATCTACGCAATTGGGATACAATGACATGTGTCAACCAACCCAGAGAGTCTGACCACCCAATTCCGTTAGTTGCCTCTTACGACACGTATGGGTTGCTGAAGACCAGTTCTAACCGGGATCTTCGCGGGTCAATATCAGTTTGCCACATTGAATGCAAATCAAATCGTGAAGTATATACTGGCGGAAGGAAATAAGTAAATACGTAAGGGAAACAAACAACAGAAGGTCTGACGCTTTATTTCCACAACATTCAAACCAGAGGGAAATGCATGCTTAAGTCTGCCTTCCGTGCAACACCCGGTGACTTTGAGGAACACAAAAGTGGAGCTTTTGTCATTGTGTGTTCCTTCAGTTCTTTCCGTCAGTATATCCTATTATAGATTGTGCCTTATATATTACTCGTCACTCATTCACTGCTGACTGTGTTAAATATGGTGCTCAGTGCAAACTACTTACACATATAAATACACTACCGGTCGAAAGAAAGTACACACCTAAACTGGATTTGACACCAAAATTGCAGACATTATCAAAAGTTAAAAACGGAATCAAACCGGAAAAATAACGGTCAAACCACGTATGAAATACATCACAATAGAGTAAGAGTTTCTTGTCTGTTTCAGTTTAGCAAGCATAAAAACGGGGTGTACTTTCTTTAGCTCGGCAGTTTACTTTATCAGGTAAACTTTTAAAGTTCTCAAAGAACTGTTTTTCTTTCTATATTTTTGATGATAAAAAATATATAGCTAAATGGTATTGAGCGCGGATACATTGAAATATGTAGGGCAGGCGAACAACTTATTGTTACTCGAACCGTTGTGTGTTGGATCTTGTTGCTCGTTACAACGCTCATTAAATTTTTCTTTGTCTTAATTGTTTTATGTTGAATTTGTACACCACTCTTACCACACGTGCAAAATATACATTGCACTGAATTATTTCCTACCATGACTTTATGTTAGAATTAAACCATAGAGACATGGAAAATATCTGTTTTCATAAATTCCCTGGATCCATGCGCCACAATTGATTTCAAAATGTATGTATATTTGTAAGTCATTTGTAAGATCAGTTAACCAGCATCGGTGTATTCCTTCTATATTTAGAAGGGCGTTGGGGTAGCCTAGTAGTTAACGCGTTCGCACGTCACGCCTTGATATAAATTGAAAAATGAGATTGTACAGAGTCTAGCTTTTGTAGCTGGTCGGTATTTTAAGGTTGCAGTCCAACTGGTCCAACGGTATTTTAAGGTTGCCGTCCAATTATAAGGCGCTGCCAACATAGCCGGCTAAATTATAAGGCGCTGCCAACATAGCCATAAATTATAAGGCGTTGCCAACATAGCCGGCTAAATTATAAGGCGCTGCCAACATAGCCGGCTAAATTATAAGGCGTTGCCAACATAGCCGGCTAAATTATAAGGCGTTGCCAACATAGCCGGCTAAATTATAAGGCGTTGCCAACATAGCCGGCTAAATTATAAGGCGTTGCCAACATAGCCGGCTAAATTATAAGGCGTTGCCAACATAGCCGGCTAAATTATAATAGCCAACATAGCCGGCTAAATTATAAGGCGTTGCCAACATAGCCGGCTAAATTATAAGGCGTTGCCAACATAGCCGGCTAAATTATAAGGCGTTGCCAACATAGCCGGCTAAATTATAAGGGGCTGAACCAGAATACGCAATATTCCATCTAACTGACGGCTGTCTGTAAATAAACGACTCTGTATACCAGACAATTCAGTGATTGACATCATCAATATCGATCTAATCAATTTTGATCTTGACGTGCACCATCTAAGTCCGCGAGTCTGACAACCTGATCTCTTTAGCTGCCTCTTACGACAAGCATACAAGCATGGATATCTACGATACTGAACCAGAAGTGTGATAACTCGTCGTTGTAATGAAATAATGGAATAAAAAACGCATGCGCAATATAATCCAAGCATTGTAGCGTCCACACACAAGAATGAAATAGAATCTCTAAACAAGTCTTACCCCTGATCATTAGTTACCAGAAACATTAGTCACGTAAATAGAAAAAAGGATGTTAAAAGTTAATGTTTTATAATTTATATTTGATAATTTGTTTTCATGCCATGCCTATGAAGCTGCTACACGTTTTACTGGTGGACCCATTGTCTTTAGCCGATTTCCAAAAAACGTCACAGACATGTTTCAGTGGATTCAAATCTGGACTATCGGACAAAGGCAAAGTGTCAGTAGCATGTAGAAATAGTCGGAGCAGCAGAACGATGCTATAGCTATACCTCTCGCATTCACTAGTATACATAATCATACTGATATATTGTCAGATTCCTTCAAAGCTGACAAGGACTTCAGTCTTATCGTCCACTGAGGCTAAAGGGGTCGTTGTCGGCACGGATACTACAGATGCGTCTGTATATAGAAACGTACCATAGCCAAAATCAGAATACAGAAGCGTTCCCTAGGACGAATCAGTTCTGCATTTTTCCGTTTTCTTGATCGGAACTGTCATACTGTTGTATAAGATGCATTTCATTGCGTTACATAAGAAATGACCATACACAGTAACGAATATCTCAATACCACTCGCAATGAGTTGAACGGGAACAACTACATGCAGTTTCGGGTGTGGGTTGCCGAATATGGACTCGTCCGCCGTGTTGTGTACCAGGTACGCTTCTGAATTTAATCTTTGTTTGGGGTACATATCTATAGCACCTGTGTCGACAACGACCCCTTCACACTGAGGCAGCGACGGAGCGAAACTTTTAACAGCAAGGTTCTTGCGGAAGATGGTTCCCGGCTCCCAGTGCGCCACCCGTCTTCCCACGCTTCACTCTCTCCGAATTATGAGCCCGACAATTTAATTTACAGGGAAATCCAAAAGTGTCTAGCGGGGAGGTTGGGAGGGGTTACCTCATGAGTCAGGATAAGTATAAAATATCAATTTTATTCAGAAAATTACATATTTCTCCTTATCCGGACTCATGTATTTTTGCTTGTAGAATCCGTCAGATTTGGTGGTGGGTCAAGCCACTTCTGGATTCCATGTAGTGATTAACATCTTGCATACCCCTATGGGAACTTCTATTTTACAATTTATGCTCTGCTGCTGCTGTAACCCTTTACTTCCAGCTTTCTCTGATGGGGGACCACAATTGTTAACTTTGGTCCTTGCTTCTGTTAACATTTTATGTGGATTTTGCAACTCCATCTCTTGATGCGAGCATCAAGTTGAGAAGCGACCCCTTTCCTGTACGAGTATCCTTACAAGTATTGGGTGATATAATAATAATAATAATGTGTCCATTTATATAGCGCCCTCCACACTAAGTATGCTCATAGCGCTAACAATCAAGGCCATTATTACCCCGGATAACCCAATGCCACTAGAAGGTTATAGTCATATGCTAGTCTGTCTTAGACGTGCATATGAGACTATAAGCTGTGGGCAACTCTCTCCTGAGTGTAGGCTTTTGCAAGTCATGTGCTTTAAAGGGCGAGACTCTAGTCTGTCTAGACAGCGCCTCTGTGTGAGGACTCCGAGCGCCTTTGAGGGACTGTCAATTGTTGTGC